AAACAAACTTTTATAGTTCAGAAATTCAATTTACATTGGTATTAAAAAACTTTCCAGATTCCTTCTCACAATCTGAAGGAGGCCCATTATTGTTATCAGAACATATAGTTCAGCTTGAGGTATAAAATGGGAACAAAGCCACTGCAACTTGTAGAGATGTTTATATCAACTGATGGTGGACATGCACACAATATGTTTCTCCTCTCAGAAGAGATGAAATGGCTACAATATACTGGGATAAAGAAGAGCTGATCTTATCTAAGTATCCAAATAAAAAAATTATCAATAGGTCATACTCATCTTCTCCATCACAAGGAAGTGAGGCTACTGGAGACCAAGCTGCCCACTCACCTCTTTGGGAATACCAGACATCACCTTCTTCTTTTGGGAAAGAAAAATTCTCCCTTATGCCTGGGGAAGAAGAAATTTCAGGAACAAGTACCTCTTCAGCATCATCATAACCATTTCCTATGACATTGATATGTTGTCCTGGAAGCCCTGAAAACAGATAAGGATGCAGGTGAAATATCAAAATATGGTTGGACAAGGTGATGCCCTAAGTTCCTTCAAATGCAGAGATTCTTTTTTAAAAAAGATATATTTTATTAATTATGCCATTACAGTTGTTCTATTACCCCCTTTCATTCCCCTCCACCCTGAACACCCCCCCACCATTCCCCCTCTTTAGTTTATGACCATGTGTCTCAAGTTCTTTGGATTCTATATTTCCCATACTATTCTTACCCTCCCCCTATCTATTTTCTACCTACCATCTATGCTACTTATTTTCTGTACCTTCTCCCCCCTTCTCCTCCTCCCACTCCCCTGTTGCTAACCCTCCATGTGATCTTCATTTCTATGGTTCTGCTCCTGATCTAGCTGTCCTCTTAGTTTGTTTTTGTTTTAGGTATGGTTGTTAATAACTGTGAGTTTGCTGTCCTTTCACTGTTCATCTTTTTTATCTTCTTTTTCTTAGATAAGTCCCTTTAACATTTCATATAATAAGGGCTTGGTGATGATGAACTTCTTGAATTTGATCTTATCTGAGAAGCACTTTATCTGTCCTTCCATTCTAAATGAAAGCTTTGCTGGATAGAGCAGTCTTGGTTGTAGGTCTTTGGATTTCATGACTTGGAATACTTCTTTCCAGCCCCTTCCTGCCTGTAAGGTTTCTTTTGAGAAATCAGCTGACAGTCTGATGGGAACTCCTTTGTAGGTGACTGTTGCCTTATCTCTTGCTGCTTCTAGGATTCGCTCCTTCATTTGAATCTTGGCTAATGTAATTATGCTGTGCCTTGGTGTGTTTCTTCTTGGGTCCAACTTCTTTGGGACTCTCTGAGCTTCCTGGATTTCCTGGAAGTCTATTGCCTTTGCCAGATTGGGGAAGTTCTCCTTTATTATTTGTTCAAATAAGTTTTCCACTTGTGGCAGTTCCTCTTCCCCTTCTGGTACCCCTATAATTCAGATGTTGGAACGTTTAAAGATGTCCTGAAGGTTCCTAAGCCTCTCCTCATTTTTTTTGAATTCTTGTTTCTTCATCCTTTTCTGTTTGGTCATTTTTTTCCTCCTTCTGGTCCACTCCTTTGATTTGAGTCCCAGTTTCCTTTCCATTACTATTGGTTTCCTGTGCATTTCCTTTCATTTCAATTAGTGTAGCCTTCATATATTCCTCTAATTTGTGACTAAAATCAACCAGTTCTGTGAGCATCCTGATCACCAGTGTTTTGAACTGTGCATCTGAAAGTTTGGCAATTTCTTGTTAGCTTAGATTTATTGGCTCTGGGGCTCTGAGTTGTTCCTGAGCCATGTTTTGATCTATTTCCACCTGTTATGTATGAGGGGCAGAGCCTTAGTTGTTCACCAGGGTGGAGCCACCCAGGTGGCTGGTTGTGACGCTATCTGTGGTGGCGGGGTCAGAGAGGGACAATGGCGGTTTCCTCTGCTGCTTTCTGCCACTGGGGCCTGCGGGGTCCGTCTCACTGCTAGCTCCTTCACAGGTTTATCAGTTTGGCTGAAGGGTTTGTTGTTGTCAGACTTCTGTGTAGTTCAATTTTCTGTGGTTTGGCTGCGTTTTTGTTGCTAAAACTTTGTTGTTTTTAAACTTGGTTGTGCAAGAAGGTGCAGTGCTTCCACCTATGCCTCCATCTTGGTGGAACCAAATGCAGAGATTCTAATACCTTAGCTAATAAATGTAGATACCATATTCCATGATTGTCTCAAAATTATATATTTGATCTCAAATATTCTCAGATGTTATTTAAATCTTTTAAATATTTCAAAATATCAAGGTCAATAATATTTTTTAACATGATCACTTATACCACAAAACATAAACCAAAGTTATTTTGCTATGAATTTCAGGTGTTATTTTCAAGTATATGGTACAGAGTTGCAACATGTAATATGAACATATCAGTGGATAATGGGGGATGCATTTGAACCAAGAGAATCCACGCTGTCCATGTGCCTTCTGAACCTGTAGGAGATACAGAACTGGCAGGGAGAGGGAAGCCTAGATACAGGTCAGTCAGATACAGGAGATCCTGCCTGTCCCAGTCACAGGAGGCTTGGATATTAATCCCCTCTAGAGCTCAGTTGACCTCAGGATTTAATCCCCAGGAACTCTCCTGAGCATGCTTCATCCCAAGAGCTGTTCAACATTATTATCTGGAGCAGATCCAGGAGAACACTCTTCTCTCTATGTCTATTATAAATAAGAGCTTGTGGCACTTGAGAAGTATAGGCACTAAGCACTGAAATGTATTTCAGTGTTTATTAAAATCATTTTTTATCTCAGTATACACATAATCCACTAAATGATCTAAATATCATACTATCTCAGGATCCAAACATACTTTTCAACATTCACTCTTAATACAGAATTTTTAAGGTGATCAGTTTTAGGTGTTTTAATAAATGTTCCTTGAATCTATAATAATAGATGCATGTTTATAACTGAGTGGAAGTAACTGTGGATACAGAGATTCGTTCTGATCTTTTCTTTCTGTGGTCACAGAGTGAGCAGATGGAAAAAAATTGTGAACTGGAGAGAAGAGACTCTTTTCATCCTAATCATAGCAGAAATTCTCCTCAGAAAGATTCTTCCTCTTCATCCCTACCATCCAAGGAAAGACCTACTCTCTGGAGCAGAGTCAGAGTCTCCACTCCCCTCATTGTCCCCTGTATAATACAGCAGCTTAGTCACCAAGTCATCAGACAGGTTACCTGATAGGGAGAAAAACATTACAGAAAAATGGAAAAACTTTTTCCATAGGAGACCCACTGTCATTGTTTAGAAAAAACCTTGAAACTAGGCTTGTAGAGAGAGGGCTTTCAACTCCTGGGTTAGGAGGAGGCTGATTGTGTGAGGCTGAGTTGGTGGTTGTGTTGGTGTTTGCTGAAGATAACCCATGGCCAGCTCATGAACAGAGGGGAAGGCATGGAACCCACCTGAGCTGTCCAACAAGTCCTCCTCCTCTTGTTTTATGGGTTATCAATCTCCTGGTACACAACTTCATTAGGCATATCTTCAGTAGCAGATAAAGCTGGGGAAAGTGACATGAGTGTAGAGACTGCCCTGCAGATGTTCCCTTTACCAAGAGACAAAGCTTTCAGTGTTCTCCAATGCTCATCCCTGGAAAACCCCCTGTGGGCTACCAGGGCCCCTTCTTAGCCCTGTGCCCCTTTGGGACAGACCTAGGTTTCCCAACCCTGATTTTGATCCTACACTGAATTCCATGGGCACTATGCACATTGGAGGTCGTGATTTTTTTAAAAAAGAAAGCCTAAATTATTAAGCTGTTTTACATTCAACCCAGGACAAAGGACTCAGTTCTTTCAAATTTTGAAGTCTGTCGAAGAGAAAGTGGAGTTTTGCCAGATAATGGGAAGAAGATCAATACTTGTGCACTTTTCTTTGTATCACAACTGACCAGTTCAATACCCTTCCCACTACTTTCCAGATGACTTAGCATCCCTATGGCCCACCGTGGTGCTCTGCTCTCTATCTGTGTAGCTGAATCCCCAGGATGGTAAGGGCCAGAAAGAGAAGAGCCCCCAGTGTGCTACAGAGGGTCTCAGTAAGGAGGAGATGCTAAAGATGAGCTGATCTGATTTGGTGCCAGAGGAGAGAAGTGGGTTGTGCATGCAGTTTTAGAGAGGTTGATAAATCCACGAGAACATGTCTTTATCCTGGTTATCTCCCGAGTCCTCAAGACCACGAAATCACCATTCAGATACAGTGGGTCTGCCTGAATCCCAAGATGTGATCAACCCAGGTCCTTCCCTGAGCTTTGTCAACCTAAACTGAACCTGGTCATAAGGGATTTTTATAAAATGTTAGCTGGTAAAGCTTTGGAGAATCACAGCTCCCACAAGTTTGTAGGATTATAAATTCCTGATCAATAGGTCTTTTTTATATTGACATGATTAATTTTGCCAGAAATATGTAAATTCCATAGAGCAGGCCCCTAAAAATATGGATGTCTCTTCTATCACAGGAGATCAGGCAATATCCTGTGCCCTGGAATCAGAGCACAGAACAGCAGGTTGATTCAAGAAGTGCTTCTGGGCACAAACTCATATGTCCTTCAATCATAGTGCAACATCATTGGACCTTCCACTCAGCAGAGCACCTCACTGCAGCATTCTCTTTGTGCCTGCAGTCGTTCTGTCCCCAGGGCTGCACAGCACAGGCCCACAGGGAGGACTCCCTGCCCCTGCACTGCACCTCACCCAGCCAGATATGCCCTTTTCCTGGGCCAGGCACTGCCCCCTGCAGGGATTCCATGGCAGAGCCACAGCCCAGCTGCTGACATACCACCTTGGCCTCTGCCAGGCTCCAGGAGTCATCACACACTGTGCCCCAGGAGTCATTGTGCCAAACTTCTACTCTCCCTGAGCACTCAGTGCCTCCATCCCTGAGTTGGACCTTGTCTCTGACGAGGCAGCAGGACCTCGTGTGAGAAGGAAGGAAACCTGGGAGCCCAAAGGGGAGGGGCTCATGTCCCTGTGCAGTGGGCAGCAGTGGGACAGCTCTTGGGTCTCATTCTTGTCTCATTGGGCAAGTCTTTCTGGGCAGACTTGGTGACTTTGCCAGCTCCAGCTGCCTTCTCGTCCACTGCTTTGATGACCCCAACAGCAACTGTCTGTCTCATGTCACGAACAGCAAAGTGACCCAGAGGAGGATAGTCAGAGAAGCTCTTATCACACATGGGCTTGCCAGGTACCATATTGATGATGGCAGCATCACCAGATTTCAAAAACTTTGGGCCATCTTCCAGCCTTTTCCCAGAACAACGATCAATCATCTCCCTGAGCTCAGCAAATCTGCAAGCAGTGTGAGCTGTGTGACAGACAGTCCAGCACAGGTGCACATCCAGCACTGATTTGGCCTGGATGGTTCAGGATAATCGCCTGAGCTGTGAAGCCAGCAGCTTCCATTGGTGGGTCATTTTTGCTGTCACCAGCTGCATTGCCACAGTGAACATCTTTGACAGACATGTTCTTGATATTGAAGCCCACATTGTCCCCAGGAAGAACTTCACTTGAAGCTTTATGGTGCATTTCAACAGACTTTACTTCAGTTGTAACGTTGACTGAAGCAAAGGTGACCACCATGCAGGGTTTGAGTCTCCACCCGGCCCACAGGAACAGTACCAATGCCACCAATTTTGTAGACGTTTTGGAGGGGCAGATGCAGGGGCTTGTCAGTTGGACAAGTTGGTGGCAGGATACAATCCAGAGCTTCAAGCAGCATGGTTCCACTGGCACTGCCATCTTTACTGAGCTTTCCATCCCTTGAACCAAGGCATGTTAGCACTTGGCTCTAGTATGTTGTCACCATTCCAACCAGAAATTGGCAGAAATTCTAGTGTCAGGGTTGTAGTCAATATTCCTAATGTAGGAGGCTGACTTCTTTAACAATTTCCTCACATCTCTTCTGGCTGCAGGGAGGCTCAGTGGAACCCATTTTGTTAACACCAACAATTGGCTCTTTCATACCCAGTGAGTAAGCCAGAAGGGCATGCTCATGGGTCTGCCCATTCTTGGAAATACCTGCTTCAAACTCACCAACACCAGAAGCAACAATCAGGACAGCACAGTCAGCCTGAGATGTCCCTGTTCTTGATAATCACCTTCTCGATAAAGTCTCTGTGTCCTGGGGCATCAGTGATAATACTTGCTGGTTTCAAACTTCCACAGGGAGATATCAATAATGGTGATACCACGCTTACATTCAGCTTCCAGTTTATCCAAGACCCAGGCATACTTGAAAGAGCCCTTCCCCATCTCAGCAGTCTCCTTCTCAAAATTTTTTGATGGTTCTTTTGTTGATCCCACCACATTTGTAGATTTGTGGTTTTCTTGATTCCTGTGTTCTGGTGGAAAACCCATTGTGAAAAAGCGTACATTTATTTTTCAAAAACTCCCTGTCTGCTACCTTAAATCAAAATTTGGGAAACAGTATGCTACATTAGAAAGCTCAAAATTCATAGTTTATGAAACTCTCCACACTTGAAACTCTCTTTATCACCAGTAGCTACTTCCTCACAGTTGTTTTAACAAGCAATATTGAACTGCTCAGCATTTCTTAAACCATCAGGTTCTTTCGAAACTCTGTGTCTTATACATGTGTTTTCTCTCTGAAATGGCCTTTCTTACTTAACTTTTCTTAACTTTCCTAACCATTCCTTAACTTTTTCCCCCTCATATCTCTCAATTTTAAATAATTTGTCATTTTTACTAATGTCAGTTCAGTAAGTTAATTGAACTGGGTTAGTGCAACCATTGAATACTTAATGAGACAGAGTCCTGCTGGAGAATATTTATATATTATTTATTTTGTACTCCTATAATAACTTATTTAAAAAGTGAATAAATTCTCATTTCAGAGAATATATTTCTTTGTTTTTACTACCACTTTTAATAGGTGCATGTCTTGAATGAATGTTATCTGACTCTTGTTATCACAATTCCATTTTCCAGAAATAGAAAATCTAAGGTTGATTGTTTCCTGTGTGCCACATAATTCAAACACAAGAGACAAACAGAAGCAACATTCACTCTGACTAACCAACAATAAGCTTTTATATTTCTGACTTAATTCAATCACAAAATGAGCACTATGACAAATTCATTAATTCATGATCCTGGTTTTTTTACATATCACTGTTCACATTTTTGTATATCCTGCTAGAAAAGTTTGACTGGGTGTCTCTAAGTGATAATAATTCCTTGGACACAATCTGAGTTTTAATCCCTCAATAATTGTCCTAACTATACAACATTGAGAAAATTTCCCATTTAAAGAAGACTCAGCTCCCATTGGGAGGAAATAAGATTGAAAGAGAAGTAAGGCCTCTTTACTAAGTCAGAATCAAACTCTGAATAGCAGCATAAAGCAAAGAGAAGCCATGTCATTGAGATCCTGAAGACCCTCTTGCTCTAAAGAGAATTTGAGAGGATGACTTTGCACCAACCTTTGTGTGAGGACTACTTTCCTGTCACTATCTCCTCTGATCTAGTGCATATCAACCCATTAGTCCCCCTGTCAACTCTGGGCCAGAGTCAGGTAGATGGATCTGGAACAGTTGAGGAAGACTTTTTTATGTTTAGATATAAACCCAGAAATATAATTTACATATTCAAATCAATATCCAAATTAGAGCAAAGGAAATAAACTCAAGTTCTACAGGATAACATTCTTGCACTTCCACAGTCTAACAGTAAAGAAAACCATACAGAGATAAATGCATGGCGCCTTTCATAAGAAGAGGCTGTGAAAGTTATGTGCTGTGACCAGAGTAAAAAGAGCAGAGGGACTACAGAGAAATAAGCATGTTAAGTGGAGAATTAATTTTGGTTTCTGAATGACTGCAAAGGAGGTGGTTATTTGTGGGTGTCCAAAAGTGAAGATTAAAAGGTCACATCCATAGAAAAATGTAAAAGATTATGTAGTTAAAATAAGAAACCTACTCACCACCTTGGAATCAGTAAGTGGTGGAAGAAACAAGAAAAGATGTTGATTATGTACATTTGTAGATCTAAACAACAGGGAAGTTTAGTATTATACTTTACTATCCAGCAATGTCCTCAATTATTAAGGACAAAGTACTGAGTTCATGCTTATATGGAAGCAGTAAAAATTAAACTTGAAAATTATACAAAATACAAGAAAAGTCCAACATGACTGAACTCAAGATATAGAACTAGTCAGTCATCACAAAAGAACTCCCTTACGCTACCTCTTTGTACTTATACTCACTTCCCACCCCACCTCAGCCCTCACCCTATCACCTGGCAACTGCTAATCTGTTCTCTACCTGTATAGTTTTGTTGATTTGATAACATTATATAAACAGAATTATATAACTTTTGGATGTAATGTCTGCAACTTTTTTCATTAAGCATAATATTCTTTAGCCTATCTGGATTGTTGTATGTATCAGTAGTCCATTCCTTTTTATTGCACAAATGTGTTCCATTGTGAGGATGTATCACAGTTCAACTGTGGACCCATTGAAGGCATTGGGCTGTTTCCAGTATTTTGTTATTACAAATAAAACTGCTTAGAACATTTATGTACAGGCCTTGCATGAACATACATTTTTATTCTCTGGGATAAATGTCCAAGAATGTAATGGCTGCCTCATATGGTAAGTGCATGTTTAGTTTGAAGACAGTGTCAAAGTGGCTTTATACCCACCAACAATGTATGTGAGAACCAGTTTCTCTGCATCTACATCAGTATTTGTTATGATCACTTTGTTTTTGTGATGGTCATCAGCATAAAAATAATATTTATTGATTTTATTTTTTCAAATTATTTTATTGTTGTCCAATTATAGTTGTCTGCATTTCCCCCCATCACTCCCCCACAAGCTAGCCAAATTCACCTCCCTCTCTTGCTTCCACCCTACCCCTTGGTTTTGTCCATGTGTCCTTTATAGTCGTTCCTGAAAACCCTTCCCTCCTTGTCCCGCCCCCACTATTCTTAGATTGTTCTTAATTTCAATGTCTCTGGTTATATTTTGTTTGCTTTTTTCTTTTGTTGATTATGTTCCAGTTAAAGGTGAGACCATATGGTATTTGTTCCTGATTGCTTGGCTTATTTCACTTAGCATAATGCTCTACAGTTTCATCCATGCTCTTGCAAAGGGTAGGAACTCCTTTTTTCTCTCTGTTGCATAGTATTCCACTGTGTAAATGTACCATAGTTTTTTTAAAAAGATTTTATTTATTTATCTTCAGAAGGGAAGGAGAAAGGGAGAGAAACATCAATGTATGGTTGCCTCTCGTGCGTCCCCTGCTGGGAACTGGCCTGCAACCCAGGCATGTGTCCTGACTGGGAATCGAACTGCGTTCCTTTGGTTTGCAGTCCCGCACTCAATCCACTGAGCTACACCAGCCAGGGCTGTACCATAGTTTTTTATCCACTCATTTACTGATGGGCACTTAGGTTGATTCTAGCACTTGGCTATCGTAAATTGTGCTGCTATGGACATTGGGGTGCGTAAGTTTTTTTGAATTGGTGTTTCAGGGCTCTTAGGATATAATTTCAGCGTGAAATTGCTGGGTCAGAAGGCAGTTCCATTTTTAGCTTTTTGAGGAAATTCTATACTGTTTTCCACAGTGGCTGCACCGGTCTGTAATCCCACCAACAGTGCACTAGGGTTCCCTTTTCTCCACAACCTCTCCAACAGTTGTTTGTTGATTTGTTTATGTTGGTCATTCTGACCAGTGTGAGGTGGTATCTCATTGTGGTTTTATTTTGCATCTCTCTGATGGCTAATGATGCCGAGCATCCTTTTATATGTCTCTGGGCCCTCTGTATATCCTCCTTGGAGAGGTGTCTGTTCAAGTCTTTTGCCCATTTTTATTGTTTTTTTTTAAAGATTTAAATTTATTTATCTTCAGAGGGGAAGGAGAGAGGGAGAGAAATATCAATGTATGGTTGCCTCTCATGCATCCCCTGCTGGGCACTGGCCTGCAACCCAGGCATGTGCCCTGACTGGGAATTGAACCATGATCCTTTGGTTACAGGCCTGTGCTCTATCCACTGAGCTATACCAGCCAGGGCTTTTTTTTTTTTTGTCTTCCTGGAGTGGAGTCATGTGAGTTCTTTATATATTTTGGAGCTCAAACTCTTGTCCAAAGTATCATTGGCAAATATGTTTTCCCATATAGTTGGTTCTCTTTTCATTTTAATACTGTTTTCTTTAGCCATGCAGAAGCTTTTTAATTTGATGAGGTTCCATTTGTTTATTCTTTCCTTTATGTCCCTTGCTTTAGGGGACATATCAGTGAAGATGTTGCTGTGTGGAATGTCTGAGGTTTTCCTGCCTATGTTTTCCTCTAGAACTTCTATGGTGTCATGACTTACATTTAAGTCTTTTATCCACATTGAATTTATTCTTGTGTATGGTGTAAGTTGGTGACCGAGTTTCATTTTTTTGCATGTAGGTGTCCAGATCTCCTAACACCATTTGTTGAAGAGGCTATTTTTACTCCATTTTATGCTCCTTCCCTCTTTGTCAAATTGTTATAATCACTGTTGTTCATTTTAGCTACTCTAATTGATGTGCAGTAGTCAACTGATGCCTTTTAACTGGACTACTTGTCAATTTACATCTAATATAATTATAATACGGTTGGATTTAGCACTACCATTTTGCTCTCTATTTTCTATTTACTCTCTTTCTTTGGTTCTTTTCTTACCTTATTTTTAGTTAAATGAATATATGTAATATTCTGGTTTAATTCCTCTACTGCCTTTTTGGCGATATAACTTTACATCAATTTTTAGTGGTTCCTCTAGAAATTAGAACATGCAGCATTATTTTATCACGGTCTCACTAGAGGAAAAACTGTACTACATCAGGTAAAATATAAGAACTTTGCAACAGTGTGTTTCCATTACTCCTATGCTTAGTGCTACTGCAGTCTTACGTATTATACCTCACATGGATTTTGATGACTATACTATATCTTTAAATTTGTAAAACTCATATAGCTAAAAGTTCCAAATTAATCTACCTATATTCCTTCTGGATCTCCTCTAAGTCTCATCTTCCTTGCTTTCTTGCCCACTTAGATAGAGGTTTGGGGGAGAGTGCCAATTTGTCCTCCATCAACTTCTGATAAAGAGAGATAAATTGATGTAATTTGCTTAGAAGGCTTTATAAATAGATGGACAAGAAATGAGAATTTCCTGAAAAATTAAGAGGAAGTGATGGAGAGAAAAGTCTGAACTTAAAAGGATTTGATCACTTTCCTGGCCATTGAACCTCAATTGGTTGGGCAGCATAGTGCAAACTGAAAGGTCATTTGTTAGACTCCTGGGTTGTAGGTTCAGGCCCTGGTTTGGGCTTGTGCGAGAGGTACATTTACACAATGGAGTACTATGCAGAAGTGAAAAAGAAGAAATTCTTACCTTTTGCAATAGCATGGTTGGACCTGGAGACTATTATGCCAAGTGAAACAAGCCAGTCAATTAAAGACAAATATCATATGATCTCACGTATAAGCGGAATCTAATGAAAAACAGAAACTAGTGAGAAAAATAGAGGCAGAGGCATAGAAAATATGCAACAGACCAACAGCTGTAAGAGAGGAGGGAGGAAATGGGGACTGGTTGAAAGGAGGTGAAGGAATTAGTCAATGAACATATAAGAATAAACCATGAACATAGACAATGGAGTGAGGATTGACTGTGGGAATGAGGGGTGGACTGGGTGGGGAAGGGCAAAGGGGGAAAATTAGGACAATTGTAACAGCATAAACAATAAAATATTTAAAATAACAAAGAATAGGAGCTCCTTTTTTCTTTCTGTTGTGTAGTATTCCATCATGTAAGTGTACCAATTTTTTGATCCACTCATTTACTGATGGGCACTTAGGTTATTTCCCACACTTGGCTGTTGTAAATTGTGCTGCTATCAACATTGAGGTGCATAGGTTCTTTTGAATTAGTGTTTCAGGATTCTTAGAGTACAATCTCATTAGTGGAATTGCTAGGTCAAAAGGCAGTTCCATTTTTAGTTTTTTTTAGGAAATTCCATACTGTTTTCTACAGTGGTTACACCAATCTGCCTTCCCACAAAACTGTGTACTAGGGTTCCTTTTTCTCCACTCCTCACTGGCAATTGTTGTTTGTTGTATTGTTTATGATGGTCATGATTCCCTTCATGATAGTGCAAATGGAATTGGAGAGCATTATGCTAAGTGATATAAGCCAGGCAGTGAAAGACAAATGCCATATGATCTCACCTACACATGAAACCTAATCAATATAGCAGACAAACAAGGAAAATATAATCAGAAACACTGAAATAAAGAACAAACTGAAAGCAACCAGAGGGAAGAGGAGAGGAGGGTAACGGGGTAAAGAAGAAAAAGGGTTATTAAGGGACATGTATAAAGGACTCATGGACAAAGCCAAACGGGGTTAGGTTTGAGGGTGGGAGTTGGGGTTCTGTGGGGTGGGGAGAGTGGTGCAGGGAAAATGGAGACAACTGTGCATGAAAAACAATTAAAAAAAGAAAAAGAAGGTTGACATTAGGGAAAAATAGCTACCAGGACTACAGAGTACTTCCTCCCTCCCAAGGAATGTGAAAGCTAGAGAAAGATACATGGTCTAAGTGATGCTATCAAACATATGAGGTCATCCAAGTTTTGAATCTACAAGAAGAATGGGCATTGAGAAATTATCTAGGCCAGAGACAAAATATGCCAGGGATTAATTAATCCCACTCACCTGTCTGAAAAGCTCTCATCCCATTCTCCTCTGCGGTCACTTCCTGCTCATCCATCTGAGAGGCAGAAGGAGTCTTGGGCACTGGTACCTCTTCTGCATCATCATAACCCTCACTAAAGGCATCAGTCCTCTCAGCTGAGGCTTCTACGGGCAGACAAGGAGATCAGGTAAAACCATAGTAAATGGGTTGGTTTAGGTAATACCTACAGCCTATTCTGACGTAGAGATTCTGATGGTTGCTAAACAGAGGCACCATTTGCCCCATGCTTTAATGGGTCTTTCCAAAGCCATGCATTTTATTTCTGTGTGCCATAACCTGAAAATGATCCAAATATCTCAGTATTTCTTGATTAAAACTAAAAAATTTTTTAAAGGAACTCTTACACTGGGGACCATTACTAAAATATTTTATCAGGTTATACTTTCCAGATGTTATTTTTAAAAACAATTTGTGCTCTTGTGACTGAATGAGGGCGGTTGTGGACACTGAGAGCCTAACTCCATAATGGGGTATTGTAGTGCCACCAGAGAAGAGGGAGACTGGAGACCTGTGAGACAAGGGAACCCTCTCATCTCAGTCAAAGGGAGACTGTTTCCCCTGGCTCTCATCTCTGTGGGAAGTTCCCTTGCCCCCAGTGCCCAGCCAGGACAGATCTACCTCTCCTACCTGGAACAGATTTATAGTCACTATTCTGCTCACCATCCCTGGTGTAATATGGCAGTTTTGTTACTGAGTCGTCTGACAGGAATTCTGAAGTGGAGAAAAACATCACAAAAACAAATGGAACAATCCTTCCTGCATCCAGAGGCTCCACAGTAAGGACAGGAGAAATGATGGGTTAGCATGGCTCTTGTGGTGTCAAGGGAAGGCTCAGAGCTCACTGAGGCTGTGGACAGGCCCCTCTTACCTCTGTGAACCTTGGGTATATGTGGGGTCTACAGATGCTGGGAAGACCTGGCTCAGCCAGTGGATGCCTGAGAAGTAGAGGTCCCAGGAAGGCCAGGCAGGGAGACTCACCTGAGCTGCTCAGTAGATCCTCTTTCTTTGGTGTTACAAGATAATCAATCTCCTCATACACAGCCTGGTCAAGAGCATCTTCAAAACTAGATAAGGCTGAGCAAACCACCAGCAGGTCAGAGATTGCCCCCTGATAGTGTTGAACCAACAAGCTGATCCTTCATTGTATCTCTGCTCACACTGGGAAAATGCTCATGGTTTCCAGGGTCCTTGTATAGTCTTATGCCCAAGTACCATGTCTGCACCTCCATCCTTTGTCTGACCCTGTATCCAAAGTTCAGCTCCTATTCTTTCCTGTCTCACATAAAAAGCTATGACTTAGGAGTGCTCATACCCCGCTATCTAGAACGTCTGTATATTCAGTTCTTAGTGAGTAACAAGGGGCAGATGCATTTTGTAAACCAATGACATAAAAAAAGATGCCTTGCCCAGTTCCCCTTGGCACCCCTGCCCCATTTCGTGCCTGCATACACTTTCCATGTTACCCAGTACCCCCTGCAGCCCACCTCTGTGCTCTACTCTCCATCTGTGCAGCTGAATCACTAGGATGATGAGGACCAGGAAGAGAAGGGCCCCCAGGATGAGGCAAAGGATCCCGGGCAGGGAGAAGATGCCAGGGACAGGCCTTGGGCCAGATCTGGTCCCTAAAAAGAACAAAGCCAAGAGGATTTGGAGAAGGGCGCAGGTACAGTTAATCTCACTTACACCAACATTTTCATCCAGAAAGCTCAGGACAGTGAAGTACCAGCTTCCAACATAATGGGATTGATTGTGAACCTGGAGAGCACTATCTTAGACCACGTCCTAAGAAATTCAGCTCTACTCCAATGTGGTTCATGGAGTGCTGGGGATTATCAGGGAGCCTCAGACCTACAACAATCTCTGAGGGCCAGGGCACAGCTTCGGCCCCTTCTCTTGGGCTTCACCAGACTAGAACACCAAACAGTCTTGACATAGATGTCAGCTGCTGAGGAGCTACAATCTCGGGCATGTGAAGAAATCCTTAGAACCAGCCTCCCATGGTCTGCAGGCATGAGAAACTTCTGGCACAGTGAACCAAGGAAGGGGAAGTTTCTCCAAGGAAAATACCTGATAACTCCCCACCACCCAGTTGCTCCTTGGGATCTTTCCTTTCTCAGTTGGCTGATTCTGTCAGAAATTCTACAGAACATGTCCCAAGAATTTGACCATGGTCTCATATCCATGGATCGTGGCACTGTACCTGCTGTAGTAGCTGGCAACATTGATCTTTTACCTAGAGAGAAAAACAGGAGTTGGGAGCACAGGAATTGGCCAGAATGCAGGGTAACCCACGTTTCTTACATGAGCCGTGAAATCTCCCTTTGGTTAGCATAATATCAATACTGAGTCCTCCCAGCTCCCCCTTCCTTAATCCAGTGCTGCAGCCCCTAGATACTTTCAGAGTACCAACTGCCCATCTTACCCCAGCCAGGCCCATTTTCCCACCCCTGCTCCAGCTCAACTAGAGCCCAACCCAGTCTCTACCACTCACCAGAGCACCTCACTCCAGCGTCCTCCTCATGCTTGCAGTCACTCTGCCCCCAGGGCTCCGCAGCACAGGCCCACAGGGAGGACTCCCTGCCCCTGCACTGTACCTCATCCAGCCAGATGTGCCCTTTTCCTGGGCCAAACATTGCCTCCTGCAGAGCTTCCAGGGCAGAGCCACAGCCCAGCTGCTGACACACCACCTCGGCCTCTGCCAGGCTCCAGGAGTCATCACACACTGTGCCCCAGGAGCCATTGTGCCAAACCTCCACTCGCCCAGAGCACTCAGTGCCTCCATCTCTGAGTCGGAGCTTGTCTCTGTCTGACAAGGTGGCAGTACCTTGTTACCACCCCTGGTGGGAGAGAAGGAGCCCTGGGAGCCCACAGGGGAGGTGAGAGGGGCTGATGTACCTGTGCAGGGGGCAGCAGTGGGACAGCTCTTGGGTCTCTTTCCTGTAGAAGCAGACAATGGGGAAGCACTGGATCAGGGACAGCTGGGCGTGGTCTTGCCTCACAACAAGATTATTTAGGGTCCTTGGCTCAGTCCAATGACAAGTGGAAACACAGGCCTCATAATTAATCTAATGGCCTGAGCTACTGAGACATTCACTGGATCCTAGCCTCTAGCACCAGCATAAATTACTTTCTCTGTGTACTTGTTTATCACTCTCCACATTCCACAACAAATACAAATACAAACACACACATACAGACCCCTGAATGAAAGTGTTCCTAAATAAGGGCCTTGCATATCTTTTCACTTCTGTGTTTCTGCTATTAAGACAATGTGTTGCACATTGTACATATTTATTCAAGAAGTATACATTGAGAACCTTCTATAAATGCTATGTATAGGAGCTTGATGAACATTTATTGAGTGAATGAGTCAATGAATAAAATCCAGTGAAATATAATTTAAAAAATCTTGCTAATCAGCAAGATAATAAAAGAAATGGAAATTAACATTAATGATATGTGGTAATAAACAGTGAATGTTAAAAATAAATAAGTCTAGAATCGTAGAAGTGATTTGTATTCAATATTGCACTTATACTTTTTAAAGGGAAATTATAGAACAAATTGTAAACTTTTCTCATAATTTTTTCCATGTGAAAAATGGACAAGCCAAAAAGATGACTATAGGGTCAGGACACTTTTTTTTAAAGGACTAGAACAAGTAGAATTAGAGAAAAATAGATTACTAGTTAGTTAGTTAGACAGAAGTGTCTCTATAAGACTCAAATAAAAATACTAAAAAAACTACATTAAGAAGACACAGAGGTTCAAAACAAAACACATGTAAGAATTGAAACCAAAGAAAATAGGCACAAATTCAGAACAACACAAGAAAACAGAAGTATATACAGTACTTGCCATAAAATGTCAGAGGATCTTATCTTTCCATCTCATCCTATCCAACCTCCTGTACTATGCAGAGATCATCTCTGAAAATAATGGCAGGACCTCTCTGAGGTGGTTGTGACTTCAGGATTGAAAACCTCACTACCTTTTATTTATTGTGTTTGACTGATGAAAATTACCATTAATGTAAGGTCTTATAGTTTAATATTTCTTCAGTCTTTCACAAGAGTAGGAAGACAAAGATGAAGAAAGAAAAGCAAGGAAGGGAGTGAGACTCTGCCTATAAAATATCTATTTCTCACTGGTGTGGATTTCAGGCAACTGCCATCCTATTGTCCAAAGTATATCTGAATGGAGCGTAGCGTGGTGGAGGGGCGGGGACAAACCAAGTGACAGGAAAAAGTGTTGAGGGAAGAGAAGACACTGTGAAAATGCAAAAGAAGGAAGAGGTGGAAAGAAGAGAGGGAAGGAAAGAAGGAGAAGGGAAGGAGGAGAAAGAAAGAGAAGCAAAGCAAATGTTACTTTTATTCAGACTTCAAATAGAATGAGACTTGTGGGCTTTGTAAGCTTATTGACTTTGGAGTGTCTACATCGTTTGGCTTAAGAATCAAGTTCTTGAAAAATCTCAGCATCTTCTGTGTAGTTATGAAGAAGACAGTTGAAAAGAATTAACCTGAGAAAGTAACTTGACCATATCTAAGATTTGTGTGTGTGCGCATACCTCCTTATCCTTTGATCTAATAATATAAATATTGGGAGTAATCCTACAGCAATAAACTCACTAGTTTGTAGAGATACACTATGATAATATCTATCAGAAGATTATTTGGATAGGGAAAAATTGAAAATAATTGGACTTCCAATAAATAAGCAAATGGTTACATGAAGTGTAGTACCGACTCCACGTGAATAAATAGTTGCCATTATTTAAATGAGTTACTTCTACGTGGACGACAGTGTGGTGATTGAGGGGGAGAGGAGTTTAGGTGGAGGTGGAATAGGGTATAAGAAGGGTAAATGGTAATGGAACAACTACCCAAAACAAATAAATTATTAAAAATTCAATTTAACAATAATGTATATTGTTGAATCTCAACTTTGTAAAACCCAATAATAAAACACCATCCACATAAATTCTTTTCTGGGCATGAATTTGGAAATGCTTTAGTGAAAATGGATGAACTAAGAAAATGGTACTTGCTAGTCCATTAATTCTGCTTATATCAGGAGGATATGAATGAATGAGGAGTCAGGGAATACGATTCGCCTTTTATATCTTATGTCTTTCCTGCTTACAGTAAGTAAGCATTGTTTTTGTAATTTAAATGAAAGAGAAAGGAACTGGACTTTTTCTAATCTTAAAACAAACTAGTGGGAAGAACACAAATTCCCTAATGCCAAGCCTGGCGCAGACCCAACAGGAGCAAGTGCGGCTGATTCCGTGAAAAGGGGATATAAGGAAAGGTTGGCAGGCCAATCTGCTTGCCTCAGCGTTCCTTTACGTATAACAGTGTTCATTCCCTGGGGGACCATATCAGAGTGGCAAGAGTCTCTTGCGATACTTGCGCTTAGAATAAACCCAAACCTGCCTCCTGGTAACCTCCATCTATCTTGTCAGGGCCCCGCCCCCTGGAGGAGCTCAGGGTGAGTCCCCTCCCTCTTCCACAGGAAGTCCTCCAGAGTGTGAGGCCAACAACCAGGTTACATCTACCCTGGCATTTCTGCTAATTAGCCTAATTACAGACTCCCTGTGATGTGGTTTCCAGTTGTGTTTGCAAATGGAACACATGTACCTAGACAGTGAAATGTGCTAGCATCACTTCTAAAGGCATTTCATCCTACTGTTGGTCAACACATTAATCACCTTAGTAATTAAAAGACATTTATTTCCAGCATTGGATACAACATTCCAGTGCCTTAATTCCAACTTTCTGTCTTTCACGGTTTCTGAAAAGCGTTGTATGCATTTTCCCTATCACCCTATCCTTTGATATTTTTATTTCTGGTTTCCACCCTCTGCCCAACATTCCACTCTTAAAAGAGGTCTAGTTAGGATAATCAATGTCATACAATGAATTTAATGGGCACACTTCAGTTCTAATTTACTCAGCATCTTAGCAGTATTTAACACATAAGAGTATTCCCTTTTCCTTGAAACTTTTTTTTAACCTGGCTTCCAAATGCAGTATTTTCTGGGTCCTATTTGTCTGTCAGCTCCGCATTAGACACCATGTCAGTTCATAGAATGCCCTGCCCAGTTTTTAAATGTTAATATTTCTGTCCTAGGAATATTTATTTTTCTATGATATCATCCATTCTGATGTAAGCATTTCTATGACAACATCCGAATTTGTATCTCCCACTCAGATTTTTTCCCTAAATTTAAATTACCTAATGACATCCGCCTGTACCTGAGTGTTCTTACTAACTTTGAATTTAACATACCCAAATTGAGCCTGTGGATTTCCTCCCATAAAGTTCTGTGTTTCCCATATTAAGGAAAGGCACTGCCATATCTCTAGCCATCAGCTTTGACTCCTCCAAGCTATAGCTGGTGACTGGTGACTGGTGACTATTAAGTCACCACTATACCACTATGCATGTACATTTGCCCTGCAATAATCCTTCATTTATCTTGTACTCAAAAGATATTTTCTTTTTATTTATTTTTATTTATTGCTGAGAGAGAGAGACATCAGCTTGGTGATCCACTGATTTAAGCATTCACTAGTTGATTCTTAAATTAGTTAATGTTACTGACTGGAGATTGAACCTGTAACCTTAGTGTATTGGATGATGCTCTAATGACCTGAACTACCCCACTAGGGCCAAAGGATGTTCTTTAAATGCAAAACTGATCAATTTACTTCTGAGTTTAAAAATCATTCAATTAATTTAGATTATACCTTCATAAAATTATTTTTAATTTTGACTACACAAACAGGTTATTAATTTATTCAAAACCCCTATTTGAGTGTCTACTGTATGCCAGGTACTGTTACAGCACTGGACATAGAGTGGAGAATATGAAAGCCAATCATGTCCTAGATCCTATGGGATTATCAAATTAATATGATAGATGTATAATAAACATAAAAATGAATAAATGATGATTTCACCCAGTAAAGAGTACTATGAGAACCATAAAATGTGCTATGAAATATAAAATTGGTTGGGCAGAGAAATGGGAACCGTGCAGGAGAGATACTGAGAAAAGCAATCTGTGTTTAGGGATAATAAATATGAATGTCAGGGATATATTATAAAGAATTTTGGGAGAGGTAATATCATTTAAATTGGTGAGGAACCTCACCAAGGAAATAATATTTAAAGTGAGAACTGAATGATAAGAAGTTGAAAGGGAAGCCAAGCAGATAAAAAATTACTTAAGGTCATAAGGTGAATACCATTGGTCTGGTAAAAGAATACAAATTAAAGGATGGCCAGCTTGCCTTCCCTTACTTCCCCTTGCCTCTTATTTCATGAATACAAAAAGAGTCAATATACACACCTGCTGAGTGGAAGAGAGATAGGAGAGGAGGACTGAGTGGTGGGTAGGGGAAGGAACATGTATGGCTTTGTCAACCAGTGTAAGAAATCTGAGTTTCATCTTAAGCTCCTTAGAAAGCTACTGGTGGCTTTAAGAAAGAAAGGAAAAGAAATGAAAAGTAAAAAAAGAGAAAATATATACAAACTGAATTTTAAAACTTGCCTCTGGCTGACAGAAAAAATACATATTATGGAAGAGAAAGAGTGAACCTAGGTGACCACAAGCAACTGTTGGTTAATCCAGGCAAGAGGTTCTTTTCTGGACTAAGATGATGATGAAAATAGAAAGAATAGAAGGTTAAGGATATATCCAAAGAGAGAGCCAACAGAATTTGCTGTTATATTGGAGTAGAGGGGAAGGGAAGTGAAAGAAATAAAGGTTCTCTCCTATCTATTGAGCTTAAGTAATGGTAGTGACATTAACTGAAATGAGAAATATAGTAGGGAGGAAAAATTTAGGTACAGGGACTGAGCAGGTGAATAAAATATCCTGCTTTGTAGTAGCTAAGTGAGGGGAATTAGGAGGTGAAGGGTTAAGCAAACAAAAAAAGGGCTCATGGATATGGACAACAGTATGATGATTGATGGGAGGATGGGGTATAAAGGGACTAAATGGTGACAGAAAAATTAAAATAAAAATTAAATTAAAAAAATCCTGCTTTGGAATAAATTTGAATGACCTACTAATATTCAGTGGAGATATCAGGTAGCAACAGAAAATGGGTTTGGAGTTAATGGCAAAGAACAGTTGTGGAGTTTGCTCTCAGTATATAGAAGTCATTTAGGCCATGGGCCTTAGGAAGGGAGTCCAGGAAGAAACAAAGAGGAAAGTGTGTGATACTGAGTCCTAAGAGTATCTCAAATCTCTCTTATAGGCTGAGGACAGGAGTTGCAACTCTGTAAGAATGAGAGCAACCATCAATGAGGTAGAATAAGGAGAACAATCAGTGAGATAGAGGGATCATCAGAAGGCAAAAAGAAAAAAAAAAGGAAAGAGAAGTCAACCTGTTGAAAGTTGCTGAAAGGTCAAGAATAATGAAGACAGAAAGTTATATTTATAAACTTATATAAATAAGTTATATTTTATTTTCTTGCTGATTCTGAGAAATGGTGGAGCCTAAAACTTAAATGGATAATGTAGGAACAGTGTAAGACACACAAGTGTGAATACAGTGAGTCATTAATGACCATACTTTTGAAAACATGTCTGTGGAGCAGAGAAAATAAGGATGGGGTAGTAGGCAGGGAGAGAATCTAGGTTGAGGAAGAATCTAGGTTGTTTTTCAGGTATTTTTTTATAATGTGAGACACTTGAGGCCATACCAAGAGACTGGGAGAAGTTGATGGTGCTGAGGAAGTGGGAATAACTGAGGAACTGAAGACTTTGACGAGGTGAGTGTGTTTGGAATATGTTGCCCAAGAAGAAGATCTGGCCTAAGATATGGACTAAGGCCACTGATGGTGGAGCCAAGTAGAAGCCTGTGCACAGATCACAAGTTGGTAGATGTGTTGAAAGGAAGATGAGGAGTTGTTTCTATTCTAATTTGTATTTTCTATTCTAATTTGTCAGTGAGGTAAGACACAAGATTGTGATCTTGAGAATGGATAGTAGGAATCAGGTTTTTCTTAATATTTTTTATTGTTGTTCAATTACAGTCATCCCCCTTTTCCCCATTTTGAAGTGTGAGGAGAACACTTCATATGTAAAATATAATTTTAAAGACAGGGCAAGCACACATATTGGAGGAGTACAGTAGAACTTCAAGGCAGTGTGGAATGCTCGCTCATTGGAGACTGTGTCCATGAATTCAAAAGTAGACTAGCAACATGCTGTGTGTTCTTTGCTTGCCTTATTAGTCCAGTACAGGCAAAGAGTAGTTAGGTAGTTGACTTCAACCATCCTAATGTATGTGTCTGTTAAAACTGACAAAGAGGAGGAAAGGGAGTTGAGTGTAGTTCAAGGAAAATGACTATAATGTTAGATCATATTATCTAATCTGGCTAAGAAAAATGTGAAGACATGAGGGTAGAAGAAACATAAGAAAAACCAATAGTGGAAAGTTGGGCATTTCCATGAGGATGAAATTTATTGGGAAAGGATCATTAAAGTTTATGAGCCATAGGATAAGAATCAACGACCAGAGAATGGAATAAAGAAGTCAAGATTTCAAGTGTACAGTTAATGATGGTTGGTAGGGTATGCATAGCCAGAGGTTGGATGGAAGGGAAGGTGCTTAGAAATGAGGAATTTAACAAACTGAGAGGCCAGGATTGTTGCCTTAGTTGCATTTAAGTATGTTGTAGTAACTTCTAACAGTCCCAGGAGTAAGACATAAATGAAGAAACTCACGAGTCTGGTGCTGCAGTCTTTAGTGGACAAGGTGAGGGGTGGGGGAGCATTGAGCAGAAGTTAGGGTGATGACAGCAACAGGCAGAAGTCGTACGTGGAGAAAGCATTATGCTGAGTGAAATAGGCCAGGTGTTGAAAGACAAATACCATATGATCTCATCTTTAACAGGAAGCTAAACAACAAAACAAACAAGCAAGCAGACTAAAAACCAAGGCACTGAAACAGAGAACAAGGGGACAGTGACCAGAGGGGAGAGGGAATGGAATTTAAGGGGGAAAAAGAAAAGGGATTTGGAGGAACAAATAGGAAGGACACAGGGACGAGAACTAAGGGGGGTGGAAATGGGAGGGAGGTGGGGAGCACGGGGTGGGGGGGGCTGGGATGGGAGAAATAGACAAAAAAACTGTACTTGAAAAATAACTAAATAAAATTTTTAAAAAATGCAAAAAAAAAAAAGAAAAAAAAGAAGTAGTACATGGAATTGCCTCATGGTGTCAATGTCAATGTAATGTGATGTTGAGAAGAAACACAGAAGAGGAATTGCTGAAAATGGCAACTGAGAGCAAAGAGCACACCTACTCCGTCTCAGCACAGGGAAAAGTGTGTTGGAAGAGAAACACACAGCCTCCCATTGATAGGAAAATCAGTATTTTCATAGAAGAGTCAGGTTTTGATCTGAACATAAAAGTGAAGGGAATATTAAGGGTATAAGGGACTTTGCAGATGATTGGGCTCCAAATTTCATCAGGATCTGCAGAAAATTTTGGGAGAATGGAATGAAAGAGCATAAATGTACACAGAGTAAAGAGAAAGTCCCAGGCGATGAATGATCAACCAAGAAGACCAATATACTGAGGGCCTCTTAGAAGGGACAAATTCAAGCAGAAAAATATGGGGAATGAGGCCACTGACCTCCCAGTAGTTCTCCATGATATGGCAACAAAGAAGTAAAAAAACAAAGACAAAACTTTTTAATGGGATTGTTCTTGTTGGTACTGCCTAAGAGAGGTCTTTGCTTTGCTCTTCATTCCCAGCTAATCCTTTGCTACTCCTGTACCCCTCCCCTGTACCCTGTTTCTGCTCTGGCCATGAAGAAATTTTCTCAGTACCTCAAATATTCCATGTCTTCTCACAACTCAGTATTTACAATGACCAAAATGATCTGTCTCCTTTCTTCCTTTGAGAAACTCATACTGATTTTGTAGGTCTCCATTCAAACGATTCTTCTCTTGCCCCATTACATGCTTCCAAGCCCTTTCTCATTTTTCATGACACTTGAAATTCCTGCCTCATGAGCATTTTCATCACTGGATTGTAAGCTCTGTGAGAGCCATGACTGTAATGTTTCTCTCCACTGTCCTCTTAGCTAAAGTATAAATTTGTAATTACGGGCACTCAATTACCATCAACCAGCAGACTGACAAGAGAACTAGTTCAAGTGGTATAGTTGCATTTCAGAGTAAAATATCATAAGTTTAAGACATAAACCAATCAGGATTGATTCTCTGCCCTGCCCCTTACTTATATTAAGGTACTAAGCAAATCTATAAACTACTGCAAATTAGTTAGCACTTCCTTAGAAAGTTTATTGGAGTATTAATGGTGCTCCCACATGATTTTTCCTATTTTTCTGATATTTTTCACATAATTTGCTGTGATCACAGGTTTTCTCATTTTTTCCTTTGAAACTAGATTGCAACATGTGAATTAAATCATCTTCATCTTACAGTCACTCATCTTAATGTCTTCTCTCAGATTTGAAAATATCAGTATCACTAACAGAATCCTACAGGGGTGGGATGGACACATAGAAACAGACAGTAAATACTTGCACACGTGATGTAAGCTTCCTCCTTTGGACCGCATGAACTGTATTTCCAAGGGTCAGAAGGGCACTGCCAGAGAGACATATCAGTGTTCCGACACTGGATTCCATCGACCCACCGGGGTCTAGAGCCTTCCCTAAAATTAACAGAAGTGTCAAGGGTCCCCCTGTCCCCACAGCCAAGGTGTCTGCAGATCGTGGACAAGGTCATGGTTTCCATGGGGCTGCGGCAGACACTGCCCCAGGTCCCATTGTAGAAAACTTCCAGCCACCCAGCACACTCCTGGTCGTCGTTCACCATCCTCAGGGCCAGGAATTCTAAAAGTGAAAGGAGGAAACAGGGCACAGTGAGTGGTCCACTCAAAGCTCTGTGTACTTTCTCTCTCCTAGAGGATGTGAACACTCATCACTGACTCTGCTGAGGAGACAGCCACTAAGTGGCAAGACTGAAATTTGTGTCTCTTTTCCCTGAGTTTGTCCATTTGTGTCTGTGTATCTCTACCACAAAGATGTAGTGGAACATGAACAGAGAGGAACACCAGCCTGGGCCCTCTGCAGGGAGAAGAGCCCAGTCCTGCTTCCGACAAAACTGACAGAGTGTGGATGGGAGTGTGGATAGTGGTGGCAGGTGGAATAAAGGACCTCTGAAGATTTCCACGTCCTGCCCTGTGGAACTTGTGAAATGTTCCCTTTTATAGCAAAAGGGACTCTTTAGTTAGTATCAAGATAAGGACCTTGGGATGACGAGATTAACCTGAGTTATCATGCATTAACCAGGTGAGTTCAGTCTAATCACATCCTTAGACCCACTGCCCTTAAAAACAAACTTTCCCAGCTTCAGTTCAGAGGAAAATGTGGCTAAAGAAGAACGGTCAGAGGGGGGCAGGGTTGTTTGTCTGAAGGAAAAAAAGGGAGCATGGAGCCCGGAATGAATGCACACCAGCTTTGGAAAGTAGAAAAGCCAGGGAGAGGAAGTCTTCCCCGGAGCCTCCAGAATAATGCAGCTCTGTGGACACCTTGGTGTCAGCAACACCTGTCAGGGCTCGGACTCCCATCGTAGAGGGCCCCCGCCTCCTCCCCAGCCCATGGACAATGTGCAGCACTGACCTGAGCAGATGACCCCCACATCCTCTTTGTGCCAGCAGTTATGATGTCCCCAGCCCTGGGAAGGGCACTTCCACAGGTGGGACTCTTTTCCTGTGCAGTTCACGTCATCCAGCCAGATCTGGCCTGATCCTGCCCCAAAGTAAGCAGAGACTGTGGCATTGAGGGCTTTTCCACAGCCCAGCTGTCTGCACACCACCTGGGCATCGTTCAGGTCCCAGCTGTCATCACAGATGGTACCCCAGGAGCCCTGGTGAAGGATCTCCACTCTGCCGGCACAGCGACTGCCCCCGTCCACCAGGCGGAGCTGTCTGCTGTCTGAGGAGAGAGAGACCAATGCGGCATTTACACAGAGAAAGAGGGGAGGGTTTTCTGGTCCAGTGGGAGCCCTCACCTGAGCAGTGGGCAGCGCTGTCCTCCGAGAGTGCAGAGCCTTCTGGTTCAGACAAGGAGTTGCACTGGGGTGGCACCTGCGTCTGGTTTCCTACAGAAACAATCGGAGGGTTAGCAGGGTTGAAGAGCAGGAACTTGAATTTCATAATAACCTAGCAATGGAGTCTGAGATGAAAGATGTAAGTTAAGAGCAATGTTAATATTCGAGTATTATCTAATATGTGATAATATTAGAGCTTGCATTCTTTATGGAGAGTTCTGTCTCTGAAAATGATTTCTTTTTTAAGTAAACTGCATGAAAAGTGAGTTTAAGAAAAAAACTGGCATGCATTAGTACTCTTTGGAAGTGTTGTAGAGCTACCAAGGCAGTGAGAATTTTAGGATTGAAGCAGTGAGAAAAAAGTTAAGAGCAGTGGAGTTGTTTGAGTTCTTTATATATTTTGGTGATCAAACCCTTGTTCGAGTTATCAATGGTAAATATATTTTTCCATATGGTTGGTTCCTTTTTCATTTTGCTGATGTTTTCTTTAGATGTGCAAAAGCTTTTAATTTTGAGAGTCCCATTTGTTTATTCTTTCCTTTATGTCCTGCTGCAAGCAGCCTAAGTGCCCATCAGTAAGTGAGTAGATCAAAACTATGGTACATTTATACAATAGAATGTTACACAGGAAAAAGAAAGAAGAAACTCCTACCCTTCTTGACAGCATGGATGGAACTGGGGAGCATTATGCTAAGTGAAACAAGCCAGGCAGTGAAAGACAAATACCATACAATCTCACCTATTAATGAAATCTACTCAACAAAACAAGCAAGCAAGCAAAAATATAACCAAAGACATTTAAATTAAGAACAAACTGACAGTAACCAGAGGGGAAGAGGGTAACAGGGAAAAAAGGAGAAAGTCATCAAGGAACATGTATAAAAGACTCATGAACAAAGCCAAAGCAGTATAGGATTGAGGGTGAGAGGTGGGGGTGGGTGTGTGAGGGAAAGTGATAGGAGAGGAAATGGAGACAATTGTACTTGAAGAACAATAAAAATAAAGAAATAAAAATTAGAAAAAAGAAGTAAAGGGCAGAGGTGAGCCACTTACCTTGTAAGAACTTCATCAATTCAAAGGTTATAGCTGAGACTCTGAACAGCTCAGCAGGGATTTTGCCACTCACGGTGTTTGGGGAACACAGAGTGTAATTCAGGGTGAGCCACGGAGGACCATGCCTGTGAACCAGAATCCTTGTACCATGGAAGGAAAAGTAAACTAAGAATATTCCTCACAGGAAGTGATGCTCAGCTTCTAATCACTGCACTTCCTTTTAAATAAGGCAACCCACCCTTAAATCAAGTTCCTGGAGGAAGCAAAATAAAATGCTTTCTGGAGGATTTCTACAACTTTTATCAACAGTGCCTGATATTTAAAAAATTCCCATGTAAAAGAGATCTCATGGAAAACCAAGACAAAAGAGACGACACTACAAAGATTTCCACAAGGCATCTTGGAGTTACCTGCCAAGGTAACTCCAAGGTAACTACCTTGGAGTTACCTGCCAAGGACTTTAAATAATCATGATTAAATGTTCATAGAATTAAATGACAAAATGAATATCTTGGCAGAGAAGTTATTATGAAAAGCAAATAAAAATTCTCAGACTTCAAAAGTCAGTAGAACTTAAAAAAAGAATGTACCAGCACATTAGACTAGCACATAGTAGAAATAGTAAACAGAAGATCAGAGGCAAATGTATAGAATAAAGCACAGAAAGGAAAATAATAGAAAATATGAAAAGGGGAACAAGAAACATGGCAAAAAAGCCTAACCTTCATGTATACTAAGTCCTATTTTTATAAAGCAATAATTGACAAAACTAAAAGTAGCAGGAATTAGAAAATGCACACAGTGGGATATTTAATACACCCATGATGATTTATTAAACATTTTCACAAAATCTCTGATAATGCATCCTTGGAGAAGTGAGGGCCATATCTCTTTCACTTGATCTTGGCAAACCTTCATGAGTTGTTTGTAAACAATAAAATGCAGTGAAGGCAGCACTGCTTAATTCTCAGCACTATGTCAGGAAAACCGTGTAGCTTCCCCATGATTCATGTAGGATATTTGCTTTATGGGAAGTCTGACTCTGCTGAGACTGTCATGTTGGAGAGGCCATATGCAGGTGGTCTTGTGGAGCTGAAGTACCAGGTGTTTTCCGTGTAAGGGAGCCATCTGGATTTCCAGTTCAGTCAAGTCTTCAGATGACTTTACCCCAGGTGACATCTAAGTGAAACCACATAAGAGACCCCGACATGGAACTGCCAAATTGAGTCTTTCTCAAGTTCCTGACCCAGGAAATCATAAGCAAAATGACATGTATTATTTGTATTCAGCTGCTGAGTTTTTTGGGAAAACTTGTTAGTCCATGTTAGTAACCAGGACACTTACTATGTTATCTAGAATGCTGAATAAAAAGAGAAATGTTTGTCCTTAACTAACTTCTACTAAATAGAATTAAAAATGTTTGTCTGAATAAGGACTTGAACATGGATGTGTATAGAACCTTTAGTCACAGTAACCCCAAACATGTGCCATGTCTTTTGGATCAAGGCAGTAGGCCTTGAGACGTTCTTAGAGAGACTATTGGCAGAAGCCTTATGGGCTTTGTAGCTTCTGTTGATGAGGGTTTACAGAGCTTTCATTATTCATAAAAACACCTGTCTCAGTAACTGAGAGAGCAAGCCAACAAAAATGACCAATCAGTATTTAAAATATATAATGGTGTGATTTAATAATTATGCATCTCATAGCTGCAGAATACATGTTATTCCCAAGGGCATGTAGGCCATTTAACAGGGTTAATTGTATGCTCTAGCAAATATGAGTTCCAAATTTTTTCAAAAGAAAAATTAAGAAAAGGTCATAAAAATCATAAATTTGGACTGCAGTAGAAATAAGCTAGAAACAAACAAAAAACCCAGTAAAATCAACTCTATCAAGGTATACTTTTCATACAATAAAATGTACCTGTATTAAGAGTACATTTTCATGTTTCGACAAATGCGTGCACCTATATAGTCAACCTCCTTCAGACAGCATGAACACGAACCCAGAAAGTTCCCATTTGCCTTGGGAGCCAATATGTCCCCCAACCCATGACCCAGTTCCTAGGAAAACATTAATCTGCCTTCTGTCATGTAGTTTGGGTTATGTATTGTAGAATGCAATCGAATCATGTAATATATATTCCTTTTTTACAGCTCTTTTTCTCAGCATGTTTTTGAGATTTACCTGTGTAGATGCATCTATCAGTTGTTTGTCCTTTTTATGGTTGAAAAGCCTTTCATCATCTGAACATACTACAATTTGTTTATTCAGTCTTCTGTTAATAAAATTTGTTTATACTTTTTGATTATTGCCAATATGCTATGAAAATTAATGATCAAATATTTCTGTGAGCCTAGGTTTTTATTTCTCTCAAGGAAATGTCTAGTAGCAGAATTGTTTGGCAACATTTAGAAGTATGTTTAACTAATTTCTTTTTCTTTTTCCAAATCGTTATATCCTCCTACCACCAGCAATGCATGGGGCTCTAGTTGCCCCACATCCTTGTCAAAACTGGAATTGTAAACCTTTTAATTTTAGTCATTCTAGTTAGGGAAGTGTTGTTTCTCTTTCATTAACTTTAATTTGAATTCCTTAATCATTAATGATGAAGTCTAATATCATTTTTAAATACTTAATGCCTTAAGAAATGTTTGCCTACTCCAATATCCCCCAAGTTTTTTCCTATGTTTCCTTTCAGAAGTTTAATAGTTAAACATTTTACATATAGGTTGGTTGGTAATCATTTTGATTTCAATTTTTTTTGGTGTGGTGTGAAGTAAGCGTTGTGGTTCATTTCTTATACCTGGGAGACATTAAGAATTTAGGACTTACTTACTTACTTAAGGATTTGTCTAGCAGGACCTGAGAGAAAAACTGATGAATCCAGTAGACTAACTGTGGATCATAGAAGTCTTAAGATAGTATTTGCTATGCATCAGCTCTATCATATATTAACAGCTCAAGCTGTACAGTAAGTTAGGGAAGATTGGTGTTTACTGATTTATCTGGCTATGCTTTCTGTTCTATCTACTTAGGAAAAAAATCAATCTACATCAATGTGGGATGGACTCCAATATCAATTTACTATTCTCCTACTGTATTTAATTCCCTTGTGCATTGTTCCAGCTGAAATGGTAGGACATTCTGCATAACAATTGTCCTGTATTCTTTAAAAAGTCAGTGTCATGAAATGTAAAGATTCAGAAAGTATTCCACATTAAAGGAGACTAAATGGACATGAGAACTGAATGCAGCACATTATTCAAACCTCCTTTTAGCTATGAACAATATCCTTGGATCGGTCAGCAAAATCTGAATAAAGCTTGTGGACTAAATAATAGCTTTATAACAATGTTCATTTCTGGAATTTGATCATTGTGCTGTGGATATGTAAGGGAATTCTTTGAAGTATTTTAAGGGTAAAGGGATATTAGGTCTGCAACCTACCAGTTTTAACTATTAATTCAGAAAGAATTTACATATTCAGGGAGGGATGGGGCAGGAGAGAGAGAGACAGACAGACAGAGAGACAGACAGAGAGAGATATTATAGCAAGATACTAACATTGGTAGAATGTGGATAAAGGGCTATCTGGAAATTCTTATTCTTGCAATTTTTCTCTGTGTCAGATTGGTGAAAGTAAAAATATAGAAATATAAAAGTTAAAAATGCTTCATAGAGAATTCATTCATAGGACACCTTCACTAAGAGAAATACTAAAAAACATCAGAAATATGAAATGCCTAAGAGAAAACCTAGTGAAAGATGTGTAAAACCTTTGAGAGATATTAAAGACCTAAATGAATGGAGAGATATACCACATAAATAAATGGGATGACTCAATATTTTCAAGGTTAATTATCTTCAAATCCATGTGTAGAATAAGTTTAATCTCAATCAAAATATCATTATACTTTTTTGGGTGAAAAATGACAAGCTGATTCAAAAATTTTATGATAATGCAAGAGATCAAGAATGACTGCCCTGGCTGGTGTGGCTCAGTGCATTGAGTGCTGTCCTGCGAACCAAAGAATGGCTAACATAGTAGGCAAAAAAACCAATAAAGTTAGGGGAGTTATTATAAAAGAAACTTCTTTAAAGTTTTCTAGACTTACTATAAAGTTACAGTAACTAAGAAAGTGTGATAGCAGTGCAGGGATAGACAAATTATACAATGGAACAGAACAGAATCTAGAGAAAGACTCTCATATACATGCACTCTATGACAAAGGTGTCACTGTAGTAGGGAAAAGAGTCTTTTCTGGAAAATATTCTGAGTCAATTGGTTATCCATTAAAAACTGTGGAACTTGACCCTTAGCTCACACCATACATAGATATTAATCCCCTAGAAGGATTGTACAATCATATGCAAAAGAAAAATAATTAAGCCTCCATAAGATACTCTTGGAGAATACTTTATGATCCTCAGGTAGGCAGAGTTCTCTTAAAAAGAATATAAGAAACCCTAAATGTACAGGAAATAGTTGATAAGTTATACTTTACTAAAATTAAGAACTTGATTAAACAAAGAACACCATACCATTAAGAGAGTAAAAATAAAAGGCCAAGGATCAAACATACAAAATAAATATACATACCTGTATGAAAAATTATTGTTATGGTAATTCCTAACACTATATTTGTAATACTCAGGGACTGGAAGCAACTCAAATCTACCATCAGTTGCATTGATCAATAAATACGTGGTCATGTGATCATTCAATGGAATACTCTATAGCAATAAAAATGAATAAAGTGCTGCTTAAACAATAACATGAATGAATTTCAAACACGATGTGCAGTCAAAGAAGATAGACACAAAAGAAAACATTTCATGATTTTGTATAAAGTTTAAAAATGACAATAATATTCTATGTAGTAGAAGTTACAAAAGTGGTCTTGACTGTAGAGGAGGGAGGGTAGAGTGAATGGTGGGAGGGGAAGGTGACTTCCTGGGTGCTTTTAATGTTCTCTTTATTAACCTGGGGTGGCGTACATGACTGAGGTGTACACTTACTACTTATATATTCTGTGATCATACTTAAATAGAATGTTTATTTGAAAAATATTATTGTTCTTAACATTCTTGCATTGACCAAAAAAGATGGCTGAACAATGAGAAGAACCATATTTCACCATGAGATACCTTACCTTTGAAGGCAACTTTTCCAACTTTCTGCTGTTAGGGACATTCATTCAAGAACACCCTTAGTAACAGGTAGCCTTTTTTTTTTCTCTTACCTGAACAGATCACAGAGGCTGTGTTCCCATGGGTACAGTCAGGAATGCCCAGGGCAGTCATTGGGCAATTCCACAGGAAGGACTCAGTCCCTGAACAGTGAAATTGGGCTTTCCAGATCTGATCACCTCCTCCCACAAAGTAGGCTCCTTTTGGGGTAGAGATGGCAACTCCACAGCCGAGCTGACGACAGACAACATTGGCATTGGCCATGTTCCAGTGAGAGGCACAGAGCATTCTCCATTCTCCAGAAATATTCATCTCCACTTGTCCTTCACACTGAGAGGTGCCATTTTTCATGAGCCACACTTCTGTGTATGCTGGTAGGAGAAAGCAGGATTTCATCAAAATCTCATGTTTTTCCTACCTCAACTGAATATGCAAGGAGGTTAAAGTCCTGCTCTGCATCTCACCTGAACAGACAACTTGAACAGCCCCACTGTGCTGGCCAGCACCTCCTGGACAGGGCACTCTGGGGCAGATCCTGAGCTCAGGCTCCTGCCCTTCACACCGGAACTCTTCAGCCCATGCCCGTCCACCTGACTCTCTGAAAGGCACATCCACCAGGACAGACACAGCTTTGCCACACCCCAGTTCTGCACAGATGACCTGGGCAGTGGGCCACGTAAAGTTCGCATCAGACACTGGAGTCCAGTCATGTCCAGAATGCACTTCTACTTGCCCTGAGCAGGGTCCACCCCCTCCAGCCAGACGCACAAATCCTGAGAGGAAAAAAACCAAACCCAGTGAATTGTCCATGATCCTGGCTTGGCAACTGGAAACATGTCATAGGCAATGGTGTGAAAGTTTTATGTTTCTGATGGTGGGATATGGAAAAGGATTGTGACAATTATTGTCAGAATTGCATTTTTATAAACACATTTCCGAGGAGAAATGCACACTTTGAAGTTGGTGAGAAATGAGAATTCCGTACCTAGTGGCCTAGCAATTACAGGGCTGAAGAAAATTGCACTGTAGAGGGCTTTCCAACTTGGGTGTAGAGGTATGAATAACTGAATTAACCCATAGTATAAAAAAGTTCTGGGAATTTTCTTCCTAGACAGGGCAATTCCAGCTGTTTGAGGCCTATTAAGCAGACAAGGTTAGAAATGTATCCTGAGATTTCTGGGGCTAGAATTCTGAGCAGCTTTATCTCAGTCGCTAACCTTCAAGTGACTGAAGATAGGGAAAATCATGAGGGTTGGATCCATGAGCACGTGCCAAACTATAGGCAGACTTATAGCTGAAGGGAGAAAATATAGATATAACCAGTCCAATTTTATGATTTCACATTTTTAAAATAATTTTTGATGGCAAAAATTCCAAGAATTTTTTAAGTGACCTGGTGTGAAAGAAGTTGTCCAAAGATGAGTTTGAATGTTAAGAAAGCTCTGAGAGCCATAGGAAAAAGGAGTGAGTGGTCCTAGTCATCTTTCTTGAACCCTAGGATTTGCCATTGAACTTGAGAGACAGTGAGTTTTCAGGGGGAATATGTAAGACAGCTAAGTCTGTTGATCACTTCATATTGGTTTTTTTTTCCCAGACTGGGGAATCTTAGCAATCATTAAGGAGTAAGAGTAATTGAGGTACGTTAATCCTATCTATACTCTAACTGTATATTCCTCTCCTACTTGGATTCTTGAGTAAGAAGACAGCACACTGTAAAAAAGGAGAGGGAGAGGGTGGAAACAGAGAGCAAACAAGCTATCATTTGGAGACTTCCAAATTGCAAAAACTATAGTAGAAAGATAAAAATATTTGGAATAAATATTTGTGAACAAGTTTTTAAACACATTTTATCAACAGTGCTCTGACCTTCTGCCACCAAACCATAAGGTACCAAGAGAAAAATAAATTTATATATATATGTATAATTTAACTATAATATAACTATATTAAACTTATATATATATGCGTGTGTATATACATATATACACACACATATACATATATCTGTATCTTTTGGAAAAGGGTTGATTGAAACAAAGACTCATTCTGGGGCACCCCTACCAACATACATTTCTTCAGCATGTCACCTAACATGACCCTACATTTTCATATTGACTGAAGTTGTTCACTTCTGTGATGTGACAAGTCCTCCCATTAGTCTGTGATTGGTAAAGAGATTTTAATATCTGTGCAAGACTGGTATTGCTAGTGAGAAGTGAAGTTTTAACAATTCAGTACTTTCATAGATGCCATTATCTGAGGTAAAATAATATTGGAACTCACTGCTGATACTATCTACTTGTTGTGTGCTATTTCTATGTTAATGGAAAGGTAAGTGAAGTCTCTGAGGGTGAGGGAAGAATCTGTCTGACATAGAGATTCTCACTGAACTTCTGACTGGCTTATCTGAGAAGAAAGAGTGAGTGACATTTTCAGGGTAGGCACTGTGCTTACACTGAGAGCGCCTGTCCAGCTCTTGACCCTTTCACTGGAAACTGGTCTTCCTGACCTGACCTGGAAAATGTCAGGACACATTTCCAAAGACCTGCCTAAGCAGAAGAAATGACACAGGACAAGTAGTTTTATCAAGAAATACTGAATTTAGAATTAATATGTTTAATCTAATACTACAGAACCCCCAAAGTACCAACAAAACAAAAATTGAAAGCTAGAAAAAACCCTAAAATTTGAAATCTGTGTCTTGCACTGTAGTGAACTGTGCTCACATACTGAGTCATAAATCTGAAGAGATATGAACATACCTTTACTTGAATTAAAAAGGAGGGAGGCACCCAAGCCCACACCAAGCAAAATATGGACTCTTTCAGGGATAAGATTAAAGATCAACAAGCTTTAAAAGCTGCAAATAATACTGGGGATCCTCAAGCACTATGTTCTTATTTTAAGCCAGAGAAGACAGAATCAGGGGAGGCTTTATCATAGGAGGGACTTGTTCAAGGTTGCAGAATTGAGGAATACTGTTGGCCCCAGACTTCACTTCCTCTGTGCCTCCTTATGCTCTCAATGCCAGTTCCCTGTGCCAGGTTGGTACAGCATCTCGTCTCCCTTCAGGCCCGCTGCTAAGCATATATACCATGGCCCACTCTCCTGGGTGATTCACCTCTACTCTTCTCTCCATTTTCCAAATTTAGCTTGTTTGCTAAAGAGACATCAACCTGAGTTACAAGAGGACTCTCAGGGGGCCAGGCCTTTAGGAAACTACTCTTTCTGCACCTGTGACTGAGTCTGGAAGATCCCCAATTTTCTGTATCTCAGCTTGTGCTTAGGGTTCCTTATGCCAGAGGATATATTCCCTCTTGTCATTATAGTTTTATTTTGTATTGATATTTATCTAGAGAATTGAGATAGCAAGAACGACCATGTTGGGTATCATCACCTTTCATCTAGGCTCCATTTCTATTACTTCACTTCTGGCTGACACTTCTTCTCTATCCTGTCTATAGCTGTGACTCATCTGCATCCACATCGACAACTCTGAAGTCTTTTGATGGTCAGCCTCACCTATGCCTGTACCCTTCTAGCTCCTTATCCTTCAATCCAGGATCCTACTATTCAGATTGAAACAGAGAAACTTGTCTGAGATGTGGGAAAGATCTCCATTTGTTATGGTATTTGGGCACTCAGAGACCCACACAGATCCAAGTGTCTTCTTAAGACCAAACTTGTCCCATGCCCTTGGGCTGTGCATTCCCCTATAAAGCCAGAGGTGGTCAGCATGAACTTTCCATCAGGATGCAGCAAAGAGCAAGGAGAGTGGGACACTGGAGGCCTGGAATAGGCAAAAATGGAGTCTCTGATTGGCAGATGATGAAAAGGGAGAGAGAAGGGAGGCTTCAAATGTGGCATCTCTAAACTCAATGCCCAGGTCTGATATTTAGATAGAAAAAAGGTATTTGGAAACAATATTGAGGGTCCATTTCATGTTGTTTTATTCAAAATACAAACATCTTTGTAGAGTTTGCCATATTTCAGGAACTTTGACAGGTAAATCACAATAAAAGAATGTTCTGATCTTTGTAGGGCTTTATTCCTAGTGGAGGGTAAACATGAGTACACAGGTTTAAGACCTCTGCTAAGTGTATGAGAGTCCTGGCTAGCACAAATGAAACAGCCTCTTCAGAGGGATTTGAATTAATCAACTTCACCCAAGGGTAAATGAAAATTATGGTCAGGTCTGTCCTTGTCTGGTGTCCTGTTATGTAGATATCCTATGTTTTTAGGCAAGTTACTGAAAATTTCACTTACTTGAATCACTGGGATCCTATTTCTATCACTCTGACCTTTTCCCTATGTAAACCTTGAGTCCACCTTACAATTCATTCTTCTCAATCCCTACAATGAGCCACACAGAATTCACATAAAGGTACATGGAGCCTTCTCTACACCACCTCTGGACTCTTTGTACTGCTCAGAGAACCCCAGATGTGTCCTTTGGAAGATCCCATTGTCATTCTCACCACCCACAGCTACTGGGAACCTCTTCTACCTTTTTCAAAATAGTTTGTTCCCTTACTACCATTCTTATCAAATAAACCCCCAAATGCACTGAGCTGTCAGGTAAAAACTATATAATTCTTACATAAAAGACAAATTAATACTTTATTACCTTTGCCATTGATTTGCCAGTGTTAGTGTTTCTCCAAAGTTTGAGTTTAAACAGATGTTTGGAAGAAAAAAATGAAGAATTTTTTCATGTTACAATGAATTGAGAACCTATGACTCAAAGCATTTCTTCAAAAGATCTTTGGTTCTACTGGCCAAAGACTACAAACATGTAGGCTTGAATTTGCAAAAGAGAATCGCAATTTGTCACAAATCCCCAAATTCCTCTCTGATTTGTTTAATGATATCCTCTGTGTCTCTATTTTTACTAATCTAGCCCAAAACAGTGTTTCACATGATATACACAGAAAGAATTCAATTCAGGAAAGTACATCCTCATTCTTGACCCTCCCTCTGTTAGGCTGGCTCACAATGCAAAGGGAATATGTGTAGTGATTTGCAAAATCACTTACAAAATCATTCTTACAAAAGTAAAATTTTAAAAAATCATAAAGATTGAATTTAATTGAGATAATACTAGAATGAACTATTTTGTTACCAAAGAAGGAAAGAATAGCAATTGAGACAATAAGAAGAAAGTAGAGGAATCCTATCATTCACAGTATTTTGTGCACTTGGTGATGATGGGTAGATGTCTCAGATTCTTTAGCCACCCATCTTCTACTGCCCCAGTGATCAGACACTAGCTTCCCTGGGACTTGCCATTCTTTCACCTGGTGGACAATGCCCTGACCATACCTGAGCAAATGACTCCTGCATTCTCCCCATAACTGCAGTATAATGGCCCCCAGCCCTGTGAAGGACACTTCCACACTTGGGACTCCTTTTCTCTGCACATCACACTGTTCGGCCAAATCCATCTTAATCCTACCCTGAAGTAAGTAGCCTTGAAGGCTTCTCTGCAGCCAAGCTGTCTGCATAGGTACAGTGGAAGGAAGCTTTCTTCTCCTCTGTTCCTTTCCTCAATACTGGCCTCTTCCCCTGACCCCAGGGTTCAGACTCTCATCCTTGAATGCTCCCATCTCCTTCCCAGGCAATGGACATTGTGCAGAGCAAACCTGAGCAGATCACGCCTGCATCCTCCTCATGCCAGCAATCGTGCTCTCCCCAGCCCCAGGAATTGCAGTTCCACAGGTGGGACTCCTTTCCATTGCAGTCTATACCACTCAGCCAGATCTGGCCCGATCCTGGTCCGAAGTGAGCAGAGAGCATGGCATTGAGGGCTTCTCCACAGCTCAGCTGTCTGCACACCACCTCAGCATCGTTCAGGTCCCAGTCCTCATCACAGATGGTGCCCCAGGAGCCCTCATGAAGGATTTCCACTCTGCCGGCACAGCGACTGCTCCCGTCCACCAGGCGAAGCTGTCCACTGTCTGAGGAGAGAGAAGCCAATGGGATATTTACACAGCGAAAAAGAGGAGGGTTTTCTGGTCCTGCAGGACAAATTCACTTGAGCAGGTGAGCTGTACTAGGATCACACCTGGGTCTGGTTTCCTATGGCAGTAATCAGAGAGTAATAGGGTTGAAAATAGGCAGAAAAAAAAAAACAGAAAAAATTAAGCAGAAAATAATGTGGCGAGTCATCTCAGATAGAAGTGTTATTTGGGTTCTATCAGAGTTCATCTTCTCATTTGCAGAGTTCTGCATAACACCTGTAAAAGATAGACAGGAAATGTTAGAATTTCTACCCTAAGAAGGTAAGTGAGTTTAAAATCATTGTTATGGGCTACCAGCTGGTTGGATTTCTTATAAACCACACACACTTTGCTTTCACTGACCCAAGAACTAGAAGAATAAAATTAAAGGGAGTGGAGTAAGGAACTGGAGTGAGCTCATCAGAAGTCTCAGGTAGCAGCCATCAGTTTTATCCCATTCACAAATGTTCTTCTTGGTATACAGTGTTCTGAGCTGAAAAATAGACCATGAGACAGGCCATGGTTTATTCCAGAATACTTCCATTATTATTCTAGGCTTCAGAATTTAGATCTGGATATTTAGTTTAAAAAATGCTTTTCTCTGAGTAGATTGGGCAACCTTACATGAAAGATAATGTCAGATGATATTGATTGACATTGACCACCTATTCCACTGGGAATCATATAATGTTGCTTCTTCTCCCAAACAAATGTAATCTTCATGTCAGAAGTTGCTATTATTCAAAATATGGAGTTATTTTTTTCTCTGGGGGAAATATATATTTCTCACTTGACCACAAAGCAAAAATAGTACATTCCTGCTCTGAAAATACTTGAACAATTTTGACAGATCTACGGTATTATTATTCTCTAGTTTTTACACAAGAAAAAAGGAATGTAAAGAGAAGGTAAATAATGTCTATCAATTTACTTCAAGTAACTGATGAGTAGACACTAAAACCTAAAAATTTTGTTTCCATTGAGAATGGAGGTGTTCACAGATGCCTGAGGAGAGAATGAGGACAGACTCCAGGAAGGACTCTGTCCCACCCTGTGGTGCTTAAGCCTGACTGCTGAGTGCAGAGTGACTAGACTAACAACTGAAGGAGACAGCCACAGACAGTAGTTCCCTGGAAGTCTCAGATGGGGTCAACATCCGACATCACCAGAGGTAGATCCAGAATGAAAAAAACAGTGCTAAGTACTAGAGTCTACTGAGACAAAATCTACTGAGGTAATCTCCATGATTTTTGATATTTTCTTTTCTGCATAGCTTTTTAACATTCATTTGTTGTCCATCAGGTTTGTGCATATTAAGTCACTAGATTTTACACTATAGTTTACTCCAAGTCACATATTTTGCCCCTCCCTTCTTTTACCCCATTTTACTGTCTTCTTTCCTCTCATTATTTTCATTTAAAATTTTGTTTTCTCTCTTGCTACAACTTGTTCTCATTTCACACTCTTACTATTTCTCTCCTGTCCAGCTCCACAAAACTAATTTTTATATCATTGGTCATCTCAGATCCCTTTTCTCTGCTATTAAAATACCCATGTTCTCTCTCCACCTTTAGCAATCTTTGCTAGTTGATTGTGGATAGGGTAGTCATTGTTGCATTTTTAATTTTTTTCTCTAGATCTTCACTAATTTTGTATCTTAAATCTCAAATTTTACAAATCCCCTCTCCTGCTCTTTTTCATCTCAAATTTTTAATTTTGCCCTGTGTTAACCTGTTTTTTCTTCTTTTTCTCTTTCATCCTGCCCTTTTATTTTCTTTATTCTCCTTTTTTCTTCTTTATTTTCATCTCAAATTTTCATTTTTCCTTGGCTTAGCCTGGTTTTCATTCTTCACTCTCAGCATTCTCTCTTCCTCTATCATTTCAAAAGCACTTCCTATTCCTCTAGCATCTCTTAAGCTTTTCTTTCTTTCTTTTTGCCCTCTTATTCCCATACAACCTATTTTAATTTTAGCTCATTTGTTGTTGATAGTGGTGGATCTTGCTCTCCAATTTGGCTCCTATATTTTTATTATTTTTTACTTTTCCCCTTACTTTTTCTTTTTCTCTCTCACTTTATTTTATTTTATTTTATTTATTTCAAACTCAATACTATATGCTTCCCTTCTCATACTTGATTCCACCTTCTTCATTTCTTTTTTTAAATTCATGATGTAAATTTTACTTTCTCTCTTTCCATTGCTCCAACTCCCAACTCTTACTAGTGCTCCTCCCTCTACCCTCTCAAAATTTTTTTCAGTAGGTTATCTCATATTCATTGTTTTTTCTTATAATAGTTTTAATCTCTTTGCAACCTTATTAATACTGGTTCATTTACTATTGATAGTGGGATTGTGGAGTGAGGGTTATTTTTGGGGGTGTGGGTTTTTTCCCTGGGCTTTATGGTTTTGCTCTGGCAGCATCTGCACAACAACATACAGGATGTGGTGGGCAGAAAAACTCTCAATCAACCAGCTGGAAGGAAAAACTCACCAAAGGATGACCCAACAATAATCAAAACTCGATTTTATCCAGAGAGCCAACATAAGTGGCATACAGGGCATCAAAAAGCATCAAGTTCTGGAGATCAAGCAGTTTCCATCACTGAATCTCACAGGTCTCCCACCACAGAAGTTCGCCACAAACTCAGGGAGTCAAAACAGATCAATTTAACAAGCAGAAGGAAACAAGAAGAGTCTCACCAATAATAGGAAGACAAAGAAACAATCCCCAAATGAAAGGAAAGGAGGAATCCTCAGGAAGAGTGCTAAATGAAATAGAGGCAAGTCAACTATCCGATATTGCATTCAAAACATTTGTTATAAGGAAGCTCACTGAGGTCACAGAGAATTACCAAAAACTACAGGGAAACTACAAGGAACTTACTACAAACTCTATCAGCATAAAAGAGGACAAAGAAACTATCAAGAGCCAAGAGGAAATGAATAATACAATTTTTGAATTGAAGAACAGAATAGAAGAAATCAAAAGCAAGCAAGGTAAAGCAGAGGATCAAATCAGTGAGCTGGAGGAAAAAGTAGAAAAAACTTCCAGAAGGACCAAAAAAAAAAAAAAGAAAAGAAAAGGAAAAAAATGTAAAAATAATAAAGAGGGGTTAAGGGAACTGCAGAACAACATGAAAAATAATAATATCCATATAATAGGGATCCCAGAAGGAGAAGATGAATGGTATCCAAAAAACCCTAGAAAACATAAAAAAAGGTGAAAGGTATTAGATATTTGTTGATACCACATAGACTGTATATGCTAAAACAATAGAGATTATTTCAGTGTTACCAAGGATCTACAGCTTTTTTTTTCTTTATAGGATTTTTTTCTTTTTCAAAATGATTTTATTTATTTATTTTTAGGGAGAGGGGAAGGGAAGGAGAAAGAGGGGAAGAGAAACATCAATGTGTGCTTCCAATGATGTAGAAACATCATGTGCCCTACACTGGGGACCTGGCCCACAACCCAAGCATGTGCTCTGACAGGGAATTGAATCAGTGACCCTTTGGTTTGCAGGCCCATGCTCAATCCACTGAACTACATGAGTTAGGGCTATGGGAATTTTTCAATTCAGTTCATGGGTTAATAGCACAAAATCTGGGCTTAAGCAATGCAGAGGACTCCTGTTGGGATAAAAAAGCCAGCATACCTTTGGGGGTTACCTGGTGCTAGAGTGACAAAGTTGGAGGCTTGCAGGCTACTCTCACACAACAGGTTTTCTCCTCAAATGTTTGCCCAATATAAAAACTGAGAAAGGCAGGAGGCCAAAGGACTAAGTCAAAAATTTTGAAAAGCAGAGTGGATATTCTCTCATTCTCTTGGGTGCTAAGCTACCAAAACATGCAGGCTTTCAACTGAAATCCCTCTGATCCCATGCATAAAAACAGGAAAAAATCAGAAGTAGACTGGGTGTTGCTAAAACTGTAACCCAGACTTGTTCTAGCTTGTATTTAGATATTTTGGTGGTCAGCACCACTACCCCACATGTCTAGCAGAACAGAAGATGAATCCTTTCACATATTAAAAATATACCTGGAGTATTTTATCTTTTCCATATAAATTTCTAGCATAAAAACAACTTACATGAGATGTAAAGAGAGGGGATTATATGATGAAATAACAAAGTGGAAAAATAAGAAGAGACAAAAATCCAAGATAAAGATGGTGAAGTTAGCAGATAAGGGTTTTATCTATCTAAAACCCTTTATCTATAAGGGTTTTATCTATCTATTCAAGAAAAAAGAGGAAAGAAGGAAAAAGGTAAAAATATGAAAAAATAAATGAAGAATTATAAATATATAAAAATCAAAGTCACAATGCCAACTGGAAATAAAATGTCTAGAATTAAGAATTAAATTAATTGGGTTTTCTATGTACACTATCATATCATCTGCAAACAATGACAGTTTTACTTTCTTCTTTCCAATTTGGATGCCTCTTATTTCTCTTTCTTGTCTGATTGCTGTGGCAAGAACTTCTAACAGTACTTTGAAGAGAAGTGGTGAAAGCAGATACTCTTGTCTTGTTCCTGATATGTCCCCTAGAGCAAGGGATATAATGGAAAAACAAACAAATGAGACTACATACAATTAAAAAGATTTTTCATGGCTAAAGAAAGCATAAACAAAATTATAAGAGAACCAACTGTATGGGAAAAAGTAATTATCGATGATACCTTGGACAAGGGTTTGATCTCCAAAATATATAAAGAACTCACACGACTCCACACCAGGAAAACAAAAAATTCAACTAAAAAATGAGCAAAGGACCTGAACAGACACTTCTCCAAGGAGAACATACAGAGGGCCCATAGGCACATGAAATGATGCTTGACATCACTAGGCATCAGAGAGATGCAAATTAAAACGACAATGAGATCTCACTTTATACCAGTCAGAAAAACCATCATAAACAAATCAACAAACAACAGGTGCTGGCAGGTCATAGAGAAAAGGGAACCTAGCCCACTGTTGGTGGGAATGCAGACTTGTGCAACCACTGTGTAAAACAGTATAGAATTTCCTAAAAAAACTGAAGATGGAACTGACTTTTGATCCAATGTCCACTGCTGGGATCATACTGGAAGAATCCTGAAAGACCAATTCAAAAGAATTTATGCACCCCAATGATCGTATCAGCATTTACAATACCCAAGTGCTAGAAACAGCCTAAGTGCCCATCAGTAAATGAGTGAGTCAAAAATGATGGTACAGTAACGCAATGGAATAATACACAGCATAAAGAAAGAAGGAGCTTCTACCATTCACCACAGCATAGATGGAACTGGAGAAGATTATGTTAAGTGAGATAAGCCAGTCGGTGAAAGACAAATACCATATAATCTATAAGAGGAATCCAATGAACAGAATAAACTAATGAGCAAAATAGAACCCTGGGTATGGAAATAAAGAACAAACTGACAGTGACCAAAGTGGAGGAGTAAGGAGTATAACAGGGAAAAGAAGGGGAATGGTGAAATCAAGGAAGATGTATAAAGGATCCCATAGACAAAGACAATGGAGGGGAGGATTAAATGTGGGAGATGGGGTGTAGGTAGGGCAGGAGAGAGTAATGGGTGAAAAATGGGGACAACTGTAACTGAACAACAATAAAAAAGAATTAAATGGATAGGTTAAAAGAGTTTTAGGTAGAATCTAAACTCTCAACTTAAGACAGAATTAGTGACTTAAAGGAGAGAAGAAAAGGAGGATGAGGGATGGGGAAACACACAGAGGGAGACAGAGACAATTAGAGCCTCAGAAATAATATCTGAAGAAATAATGGTTGGGAATCTGAAAAATGAATGAAAAGTATAACACATATTCAAGAAGCTCAAAGAAACCTAAGATATGAAAAGCCCCATGCCTCGTAAAGCTGTTGAAAATTAAAGAAAAAGAGAAAAATCTGGGATAATAACAAATGTGTCTAATATAAAAAAGGAAAAAAAGAAGAGAAAAAGGAATATAAAATGTGTGGGTCAATTACAAGCAAATGGAACACACTAACCAAACAATATCATTAATTGCATTTAATGTAAATGTATTAGATACTTCAAGCAAAAGCCAATCTAGATAAAACAACAAAATTAGAGTAAATGCTATATGCAAGACACCTTATATAGGAGGGCAAAAAAAGGTTGAAATTTAAATGATGGAAAAATGTATTTATATATGTATACACTATCATTAAATGGAGCAGTTATATCAATATCACAAGAAAGTAGACATCAAAGAAAGGCACACTAATTTAATTAAGAAGAGAATTTCCATGAGTATAATGGAAAGCCCTTAATACAGATAAAAATACCAAAATCAATCTTTATTAGCATATCACCCAAGCCCAAGGAACTGGAAGTTTCAAGAAATATAACAAAGGTGTGAGAAACAGAAATTCTTGCTCCTGTTGGGAGGAGTAGAATTTCCCAAAGAAAAGAGACAAAGACTTCTAACTGGAAGGGTTTGAAATAAAAAGGAAAGATGGGAGTAAAAGACAGAAAGCTGTACTTGAACAACAATTTAAATAATTAAAAAAAAAAAAGAGGAAAGTTGGGTTAAAAAAAGGGATAGAGAGGTGAGGAGCATTGCAAAAGCAGCCACAGACCAAGGCCTACACCTACAAGAGCCAGCTCTCCAAGCACATGGCTAGATTATTCACATTTTAGGGGCTTGCACATTGATATCTTGAGTCAGGGGCCCAATGGGGGACAGTTTTCATAGAGGATCTGCGGGAACTATAAAAGAGACAACTCACTATAGGATGTTAGTAAGGACAGGATTCTTTTGAATTAGCAGCTCTTTTAGGATGTCACAGAACAAGCTCATGTACCCCAGTGGGTCAGGACAAGGTTGACCAAGAGAGGTACATCCTGAAGTCTCTGAGGCTCCATTCCCCTTCTGCCTTCAATGCTAATATTAATTCACCCACAATCACCTACATTTGGAATCACTTTTCTCTGTTGCATAATGGGGTTTGAGGACCATCAATCCAAGAGTTAGGAAAAGAAAACATCACAGACAGGAAGGCAAAATTTCTGCCAAGAACCCAATGCTGGGGAAAAACTACAGTAAAGCAGAAAAATACCAGAGCTGTGGGTTTGTGGGGAAGATAAAGAATCTCAAAGTCAGGCTTAGACTGCAGGTGCAGGGTTATCTGGCAATATAATTATAGTTCATGTTGGGAAGGCTTTCATGATAAGCAGGAAGGTTTCCATCTCTGTCCTCATCATATGCACATGCACATGTATCATCGCCACCACTATCACTTTCTCCACCAAGTCCAACTGTCTGGCTTAGAGAGTGTGAGTTCTATGAATTCCTATCTAAAATGTTGATTTCCCTGGGCAGACACACTCTTGCTTTCATGTTTAACCTTCACATACTCTTCAAACTTCTCCCCACCCATTTCTCTTTCTCTTTCTTTCCAACAAACACATGTACACATATATACACATACACGCAATCTATTAGCTGAAAGAGCAGACATACCAAAATACCAGTTGAGAGAGACATAATACAGAATAGAGGAAGGACAGATCAGAGACCCAGCCCGGGGTAGACACTCAGCCGTAATCCACTGCAGAAGGTGATTTGAGCTTTAGGTGTCGGAGAGGCATGAAACACAGATTTGGGTCAATCTGAGAACAAGGTTTACATCTCTGCAACATCTCACATTTAAACTTGAAAAGCAGGGTCCCCACAGGATAAAAATCAATGTTAACTGTCACTAAAGATTACATTTGGTGAAAACCAATGATTTATAAGGAGGCGTTCTCGGTGCAATTCTAGGGATCATCTCCCCAGATGGTTAGAGCTAATCCAGTATCACTGCTGATTTTAAGAAGTGAGGCTACGCTTACCTTGAGCACTCGCTAGGACACTGACGAGGGAAAAAGCAAGTCCTTGGAGAAAGCAGTTTCCATTCATGGTCGTTATGATCCTCATGTCTACAGGTAACAATCTCAACTTTCTCAAACTGTACAAGGATCCTCCTGATCATTAATGGGGACTCCTACAGCAGAAAGGGGGTTATATAGTCCCATTGCCTGAATGGCCATCTTCCAGCAGCCAATAGAAACCCTAGTTAACATCTTCCCTGCCATTAGAGACCATATAAAAGGAAATTTTCTGAAATTCAAACACCAATTAGATGCTGAATCTTCAAATATCTCCTTATATGATTTACAAGGTTTTCTAATGTCAGGGGCTACTTTGTCCACCCTCCCCTCTCCTACAAGAAAATGTAGGGAAACAGTAAATCTATACAGTAAATCTATAGTTAAAAAATACAGTAAATATATAGTTAAAAAATACAGTAAATATATAGTTAAATACAGTAAATACATAGTCACAGTAAATCTATACAGTAAATCTATAGTTAAAAAAATATGTGTGGCTTTCTCTTCACCCCACAGGTCTGGCTCAATGGCCGGCTCTGTGCAGCTGGTGAGATCAGTCAGATGCACTGTTTCTGGGACAGTTCTACCACCCCATGGACCAAGTGAAAATGATTTTTGTTAAATTCGGTCTAGATCTTCAATGTCACATGTCGTGGGTGCAAAACAAAAACCAAACAAACAAAAAACAAGAACCATTTAACAGTAAAAACCAAAAGTAAAGTTAACAGAAAATTAGGATTAGAAATATAAAAATTCTCAGGTATTTTGGGTTTCTTTGGATATAGATTGAGGTGAGCAAAAGGGGTTGGGAATGGGGGTGGAAAGAGACTTCTTAGGGTGATGCATGCATGATGCAAGTGTATAGATGATGTTTTGTTGAATTGCACACTTGAGACCAGTGTGATTTTGTGAACCTATGTCAACCCTATAAATTTAGTTTAAGTGGTTATCAGGTTAATGGAAAAAAACAACAACAGTGAAATAAACACCAAAAGGACATTATTATTGGCTTCATAAGGTGCGCTTTCCTCTTCCTTTATTTCTGACTTGTAATTAAAAGCCTCATTAAAAAATAGAGCAGTTGATAGAAATAAGTATAAAGTCTGTCTTTCCTTCTCTCATTTCAGAGAATTTATTGCCCCCCAAGACAAACATAATGAGAACAGACACTTGTCCTAGGAATAATTATAGTTTCCTGAGACATGGCGGTACTACAGATTACAAATGGGTTACAAAGTTAATCCCCATTTTACAATACGGCAATTTGCACTGGACAATCTATTCTTCAGTGGTTAGAAAGTGCATGCCCTTCTAATCCTGGGTCCTCTTTTCAACACTTCTGTTCCTCTTCCTCACTTTCCATTCATTTTCATACAAACCAGTTAGTCCACTCTCACATTCTTTTCATATTTCTGAATAAATGAAGAAGGTGACTCTCATGACAATGTTTGAAAATGGAATAAATTTTATACAAATTTCTTATCTTATTCTTGATATCAACAAAATAAATACTAATATTATCATTTAAAAATAATAGTAGTGTTAGCTTATACCTCTATCATACCGCATACTTGTTTTTTTGTGTGTGATGGGAAAAATTAAGATATAATCTCTTAACAACTTTGAGGTTTATAATACATTATTATCTATAATCACTATGCTGTGCATTAGATCTCCAAGATTTACTTATGTACTGGTTGCAAGTTTGTACCTTTAAACATCTCCCCAACTCACCCACCTAACTCCTGGTAACTTCTGTTCTACTTTCTGTTTTGATTTTGTTTTTTATTTTACATATAAAGGACACCATACAGTCTTTGTCTTTCTCTGTCTGAGTTCTCTCACTTAACATAACACCCAGTTAGCATAAAGTAATAGAACTTACTGACTTTTGCTTTTTTTGCTTGTACTCTTGGTGTCATCTCTAAAAAATTATTTATTGGCAACATCAGTGTTAACGACGTTTCCCTACATTTTCTTCTAGGGGTTTGATGGTGTCGTGTTAGGTCTTATGTTAAAGTTTATTATTCATTTCGAGTTTACTTAAAAATAGGAATCCAAATTCATTTTTTTTGTTTGTGGTTATCCAATATTGTCAACATTTGTGGAAGAAAATATCCTTTTCCCCTTAAATGTTCTTGGCTTCCTTGTCAAATATTAGTTGACTGTATACATGAGGGCTTATTTCAGGCTCTCTATTCTGTTCCATTGGCCTCTGTGTCTATTTTTTATGACAGTGCCATACTGTTAATTACTATTCCATTGTTATATAAAATAGTTTGAAGTCAGGAAGTGTAATGCATCCAGCTTTGTTCTTTTCCATAATTGCTTTTTCTATTCTGTCTCTTTTGTGGTCCTGTATGAATTTCAGGATTGGTTATTTATTCTATTTTTGGAAAAATTGCCATTGGGGTTTTGATAGGGATTGTGTTGATTCTATAAATGGCTTTGGGTAATATGGACATTTTGAGGATATTAATTATTTTAATACATAAGCATTGGAGCCCTTCCACTTGTTTGTATTTAATTTTTTTTACAAAATTCTTGTAGTTTTCATCATATAGGTATTTATTTCCTTGGTAAATTGATTGCTTTTTGATGCCATTCTGAATTTGATAGTTTTATTTCTTTTAGATGTTAGTGTGTAGAAATGCAACTGATATCTGTATGTTGATTTTTATATTCTGCATTTATTGATTAGTTCCAATAGGTTTTTTTGATTGATTCTTAGTTTTTTTTGTATATAAGATTACATCATCTCCAAGTAATTACAATTTTACTTCTTCCTTTCTGATTTAGATGCCTTTTATCTTATGTCTTGCCTAATTGCTGTAGTTAGGATTTCCAGTACTGTGTTGGATAAAAGTGGTGAGAATGAACATACTTGTTCTTGATCATAGAAGGAAAGCTTTCAGTTTTTCATCATTGAGTATAATGTTAGCTGTGGGTTTCTTGTATATGACCTTTATTTCATCGAAGTATGTTATTCTACACCCATTTTGTTGAGGGTTTTATTTATTTACTTATTTTTATTTTTTAAATATCGATCTCTTGCCACTTTAAAAAATATTTTATTTAATTATTTTTAGAGAGAGAGGAAGAGAAGGAGAAAGAGTGGGAGAGAAGGAGAAAGAATGGGAGAGAAACATGAATGTGTGATTGCCTTTCACATGTCCCCTCCTGGGGACCTGGCCTGCAACCCAGGCACATGCCCTGACTGAGAATCAAACCGGTGACCCTTTGCTTCACAGGCCTGTGCTCAATCCACTGAGCTACACCAGCCAGGGCTGTTGAGGGTTTTAATCCTGAAAATTTGTTGTGTGTTGTCAAATGGTTTTTCTGCATGTATTGAGATGATCATAGGATTTTTATCTTTTGTCTACTAATGTGATGTATCATATTTGTATATGCATATGTTGAACCATCCTTGCATCCAGGTTAGGGTGCATAACCATTTTAAAGCTATTTTTAAATTCAGTTTACTAAGGTTTTATTGAGAAGTTTAGCATCTACATTCACCAGAGTTATTGGTCTATAGTTCTTTGTTTTGTTTTATTTTTTTTTCATTCAGTGTGCTTATCTGGCTTTGGTATTAGGGCAATACTGGGCTCATAAAATGGGTTTGGTAGTATTCCTTCCTCTTCAAGTTTTTGCAAGAGTTTGAGAAGGATTGGCATTTGTTGTTTAAATGTTTAGTGAAATTTGTCAGTGAATCTATCTGGTCCTGTGTCAGGAGGGTTTTTTCCTGTCCTGTATTTCTTTATTTTTTATTTAGATTTTTGTTATTATTTTATAATTTATTTTTATTGTATTTTCCCTAGTCCCCTTATACCCTCCTCACCCCAGCAATCACCACACTATTGTTAATGGTCATGAGTTTTTGGATTAGAGATTCAATCTCTTCAGATTTTCTATTTCTTTCTTATTCAATAACTGTAGGTTGTATGTTTCTAGAAAATTATCCATTTCTTCTATATTTTCCAATTTGTTGGCATGTTAATTTTCATAGTAGTCTTTTATGATCCTATATATTTCTGTAGTATCAGTTATAATGTTTGTTCTCTCATTTCTGATTTTAAGTCTTTTTTTTTTTGGTTAATCTTGCTAAGGTTTTGTTAATTTTGTTTCTAGTTTTTGAAAACCAGAGGGGAGTGGGGAGGAGGGTAACAGAGGAAGGAAGGGGAAGGGCTGTCAAAAAACATGTATAAAGGACCATGGACAAACTAAATGGGGGGTAGGATTGAGGGTGTGAGGTGGGCATCAATGGGGTGGAGGAGAGTGGTGGGGGGAAAATGGAGACAACTGTACTTCAACACCAGTAAAAAAAGAAAAATTAGCTCTTTGTCTACTGACTTTTCCATTGTTTTTCTGATCTCTGTATTATTTTTTTATGCTCTAATTTTTTATTTCCTTATTTCAGCTAACTTTGGGCATGGTTCATACTTTCTTTTCTAGTTCTCTGAGACTTTAACCTGGGTTGTTTACTTGCGATTTTTCTGTTTCATCAATGCATACATTTATTGTTATAAACTTTCACATCAGAGCTGCTTTTACATCACCCTGTAGGTTTTAGTATATGGTAGTTTTATTTACATTTGTTTCAAGATAGTTTTAAATTTGCCTCTTGATTCATTTTTGACCCATTGGTTGTTCAGGAGTGTGTTGTTTCATTTCTACATATTTGTACATTTCCCATCTTTACTCTTATTGACTTCTAGTTTTATACCACTATGATTGAAAAAGATTCATGCTATAATTTCAATTTTCTTTAAATTTGCCAAGAATTTTTTGTGTCCTATCATATGATCTTTCCTGGAGAATGTTCAGTGTATAGTTTAGAAGAATGGACATTTTGCTGCTCTTGGTAAAATGTTCTACGTCTGTTAAGTCTGTGTGGTGTAATGCCTCAATTTTCAACTTTTTCCGTCTCATGGTACATGTAAACTAATTACTAAAATTCTGCTGCCCACCAAAGATGTATTATATTTTTGCCAATCTGACAAAAATAGATATAAACAAAGCAAAAAG